CTACATCAAAACAAACTCAAGTTTATTTCTAAAGACGCTTTCGGAAGACAAAAAATCTGTCCAGTAAAACTGAGGCTTTGGGGTCTGAAGGTGATGTTCGCGTGCTCTGATAATCGCTTGGCATCATCTTAACTTTGAGTCATCAAAAGCTAATTCATTTATGCATATTAACATGTTTTCATTTCTTTCGCCTGTTTGTATGTAACATCATCTTTGAATGTGATTTTTAGCCATTTCAAAACGATGTATTGAATAGAAATTTAGGACATTTATTTGTAGACAACAAAACAAAAACTACAAAAAGTGTGGGGTTCTTACTACTATAATTTGATTTAAAAAACCTAATTCTTATTACATAAACCCTTCTTAAACTATTTGCAGCATTTCATGTTAAATACCCCACACTTTTTCAAATCAAATTATGTTGTCAATAACTTAATACTTATTCTAAAGCTGTTTGAATAATGTATAATAAGCTACTAAATCTGCGTGACTGGAATTATATATTACGCATCTATATTTAAAAAAAACCAATAAATATATCTTTTTAATTCAGTCAGTTAAAAAAGCGCATTTTTTTAAACTATTATTTATTTTTAGCATCTTCTTAAATGGTATGATGATTTCACATATATTTTTATCCATAACCAGTTAAATAGTACCGTTCCTTGACAACTTGATAAACACGATAACAGGAAATCACACCGTTATCGTCGTTTGTAAGTTTTAACGCAAACTCGGTTGTGAGACAAATAAACCGACAAAATAAGATCAACCGAGAAAGATTGTAAAATCTTACCGCCGATTTCATTTCAATTTAGTGAGTATGTGGATTTGTTTTTTTTTATGCCGAGACGGTTGCAAAATTTTACGGTCCACCAGTGGTATGGCTTCAAGAAATTTACAATAGCAAAAGGAAATATTTCTTGCACAAAGTGAATCAAAATCTGGTGGTGATTATGGTAAACTTCAAACTATTAAGTGAACACTAGTTAATCTAAACTTTCGGCTTTCAACGGCCCTAAATTAGGAATCTCCCAATTAGCTAAGCCGGAGAATCGAACCCTAGCCTTTTACTACAGTCGAACGAACACTAACCACCAAACTAAAGGGTCATAGAGATCAACGCTGCGACAATGCCTACCTCCACTATGTACCTATGTAACATAAGCCCTTCTTATCAACTAAATTTCAAATTCATCTAACCTTCATTAATTCGTAAGCTTTGTTTAGATTTACAACCAGAATGAGTGATTTGAAGGATAAGTAGATACAAACCGGTTGGCCCTGTCAGCGGCTAAAAATAGTACAGCACGATGCGACGTGTTTAAGATAAACCGCTTTATTCTTTTGGTTAGAACAAAGTAGCTAATGATCTTAAAATTACCTTCTTAATACTAATGTATAGGATTTTTCTTAAATTTTTTTTTAAATAATGGCGAAATACCTAACCTCCTATATGGAATAGGTATATTGAGTTTCATATTCGGTCTCAGCTCGGATATTCGCAACGCTAACCTATACCGTATAGTTAAGTTAAGAAACAGTTCATGGCGCATTTCTTAAGTCAAATAACAGAACAATATATGTATTAAAATATGTATTTTTACTGGTGGTAGGAACTCTTGTGAATCCGCACGGGTAGGTACCACCGCCTTGCTTATTTCTGCCGTGAAGCAGTAATGCGTTTCGGTTTGAAGGTTATCCATTGTAACTATACTAAGACCTTAGAACTTATATCTCAAGGTAGGTGGCGCATTTACGTTCTAGACGTCTATGGGCTCCAGTAACCACTTGACATCAGGTGGGCTGTGCGCTCGTCTACCTATCTAAGCAATAAAAAATGAATAGTAAAAATATGATTATATTATGTATTATCCATTATAATATCATCGTTCCTTACACTGGAAAAGAGTATTCCTTTCACGTGATATAGCTTATCTTTAGTTTAGCGGATTTCTAGAAACCTTTTCCACATTGAAATATAAAATTGTGGAACGTGTTTCCCGCCCTGTGAAATTATTCAAACGTGTCTTATGAAGAATATTCGTGGCACGACAGACGCAGTTCTGTCGCTGGCATTTTTAGTGTTCACAGCTAGTAATTTTATAACATTCGATTTAAAGAATTTCGTTTTTGTCTATGTTTTAGAGTTCGATACTATCTTTGAATATAGAGAGCAACTTTTTTTATCACATAAAATAAAATACGTTATCTATTATATTATTATTTAGGTCAATAGTTTATTGAGATATACGCATGCTAAGTCGTAAAAAACGTGTTAAACAATTTATAAAGTTATTAATTTTTTGACATATTATCGGATTAAGTATTTAATGGTAGAGTGTAATGTGAGGAAAAGTAACAAGATCCCGCCTATTTCTGCCGTGAAGAGATTTTATGCGATTCGATTCGCAAGTCGATCAATTTCATGAATTAAGGAGGATGGCGTCACAATTGTCATGTGTATTGCTCCGATCATCGCTTAATACCAAGCGAGCGATGAGCTCACCTACCATCCTGCCCATCCGCGGTAATAGTAATAGTATATTTTCATTGACTAAAAGATAAACTTATTATTTAAATTATGAACGATTGATCGAACGATCATCCAGAATACGGAAACTGTGTATTAGGCACGAGAACTGACGTGTGCGTTTTTTTTTCTTGTTTCCCCTATACCCACTGTAAGAGAGAGAGAGAGAATAAACATTATTGTTTTTTTCAGAGCTCACAGCCCACCTGGTGTTAAGTGGTTACTGGAGCCCATAGACATCCAACGTAAATGCGCCACCCACCTTGAGATATAAGTTCTAAGGTCTCAAGTATAGTTACAACGGCTGCCCCACCCTTCAAACCGAAACGCATTACTACTTCACGGCAGAAATAGGCAGGGTAGTGGTACCCACCCACCCGCGCGGACTCTCAAGAGGTTCTACCACCAGTAATTACGCAAATTATAATTTGCGGGTTTCATTTTTATTACACGATGTTAGTCCTTCACCGTGAAAATCAATCGTGAACATTTGTTGAGTACGTATTTCATTAAAAAAATTGGTACCCGCCTGAGATTCGAACACCGGTGCATCGCTCAACCCGAATGCACTGGACGTCTTATCCGTTAGGCCACGACGACTTCTTGCACACCACTATTGCACACGAAAACTCAATTAACATTAGAAAACAGTCAACAAGCAGATACATTTGTACAATAGGCGGTCTTATCGCTAAAAATGATCTTGTCCAGACTGGCGTTTAATTTACAGAAGTTCTGGAAAAGATAAAAATATATAATAGCAGGTAGGTTGCGATGTACTCATTATTATTTAAAATATATACATACAATTAATAGAAGTACACAAAACGAGGTTTCATCTGTTTTTTTTTTTTTAATAAAACTTGTCTGTATACCATACCTTGTAATTACTTTGTAGAGTTTCTGTTGGCACTTCAGATACATCGTCAAAGTACGGTTGCTGCATGAGAGTTGTTACAATTAATATACACATTTATAAAGCCGTAATTGATATGAGACGTAGTAGCGTGCTAGGTTTAAATGAAATAGTTATTATTACGTCAACGTATGTTCGCTTAGTATGTACAAAGGTCGCCTCTTCACTGATTCAAATGAATGCAAACAATGTAGGAATGGGTTTATTGTTACTGAATATTTAGCATACTATTGTCCTTAATACTACATACGCTTTACGCTATTCTGTTTGTTCTTTGAAACACTGATGTATTCAGTCGTGAAATTCATAGTTTACTTATAGAGTCTAGTTTTGTATTAATCAAATAGTTAATTCGGCGGGCTAGCTGTGCCCCTGACATTGCTGATGTCTAAGAAACTCTGCCTACATTGGCAATACAATGGCATTGGCAATTTACATTAAGTATACCTACTACTTCCGTGGTCCTTTTCATCTATAACTTCTTCTCCGTACAGAGTTGCCAGGAAGGGCTCGCTCTACCATAAGGCCGTCGACTGTGGTACTTTAATTTTTAACCGTTATTTTAAGGTTTACTTTCGTATTTTACTTGCCGTATTTCTATGCAAGGTTATCTATTTCGAAAGTGATATGCGAAACCATAGTAATATCTAGTCCATGTAAATCTTGGTCATAGGCGTTTTTTTAAATACAACAGTTATTGCTTTTAATTCTAATTTTGACTGAATTTAAAACGATATCATCTACTTATTTTAAACAGATTTTCTAAATTTGTAATTTTTTTAATGTTACATTTAAAACCGTAACTCTATTCTTAGATTTCCTTTAAAATTAAAAAAATAAAAATTTCTTTTGACAATATCATATTATGGATGATCGAATCGAATCGATTGAAATGATGAACTAAATGTACTAAAACTGTGATCACACAAGTAGGTACGTTTTATGTCAGTTGTTGATGTTGTTTGTTGGTTACACTCAGTCAGTCGTGTGGGATTCAATGGTTGTAATTCCAAGGTCGACTACCTCGTGCTTTTAAAGCCGAGTGCCCACACATTTGTGTTATTCGGAAAATAACTTAAGATTTTTTTAAATTTCTTTTGGACGAGCTCACTTGGTGTTAGGTGGTTACCGGAGCCCATAGATATCTACAACGCTTGCTCATCGATTTATTTCACTTGAATGGGGGTAGGACCTCTTGTGAGTCCACACGGGTAGGTACCACCACCCCGCCTATTTCTGCCGTGAAGCAGTATTGCGTTTCGGCTTGAAGGGTGGGGCAGCCGCTGTAACTATACTGAGACCTTAGAACTGATATCTCAAGGTGGGTGGCGCATTTACGTCGCAGATGTCTATGGGCTCCAGTAACCACTTAACACCAGGTGGGCTGCGAGATCGTCCACCTATCTAAGCAATAAAAAAAAAAAAAAAATTTTGCGCAGAGAAAATTCATTGTGGTCAACGTTTAAGCTTGCGTCGTATCTACGCGGTTCCACCGTGAACTGGCGAACTATGGCAAATGCGAGGCAGTTGGCGCTTCATGACAATATTCGCTAAGTGCGCACACGCAGCACCCGTCTCGCGGACTTCAATAACAGCACGCGATATTAAAATAATAATAATTAAAAATAAAAAAAAACTGATAAACAATATCGTTGAAGTGGCCCCCGGTAACCGCGTGTCGGAGGCGTGCAGTGTAATTGTGAATCGGTTTTTTAATTAGCATGTAAATCGTGTCAGTGATTATATTGCGCGAGGTAAACGACTTGTTGAGGTTTTAATGTCGAGCTTATGAATGGATTCGACTTATTTAATATTTATTTTAGGTACTCAGTGTAATCTTTAGCTTTCTTTTTGAAACGTCTGCTTTGAGATGGCTGAGAAATTTATTGAAAATTTACATTTGTTGATGTTGCGAAAGTTAAAGATAAAATTTTATTCATATTTTTAAATTTCATTCCATATTCGATATTTAAAATAAATGTTTGTGTCACTAAGCACATGATCATTCTTCACTAAGTTCACAAAGCAGTGATTAGTGGCGCGATGACCCCTGATTTTACTGAGCGGAGCCTTGAACCGGCGTTCTAGGTTTCCGTTATCTGTAAGAAAATAAATTAGTTCCAGTTACATCATAAAATTAGCATAGTAACAATCGAGCATTTCAGTATTTTATTCGAGAACTTATCGTTAGTCGTAGAAATAATTAAAAATACTTTTACGTTCTTAAACTACGACACGGTTTTATCCACTAAAATTGCAATGTATTCGAAACGTCAGTTACAAAATAATGACAAAAGAAAACGCAAAAGAAATCCTTAAAATTAAATTTTTATCACTTAATTTCGTCCCACAAAAAGTTAAATTACGAAAATCCAATTTATCAGTCACGCTCTGCATAATTTTATATAAAATTACTTTTAATTACTCTGTCGTGGTTTTTGAGATAGCCAGAACATATATATTATAATAAAATTTACTAATCAAACATTATTAATTATAATTAATAATTCATAACTTTAGTAACTAGCAAGTGTAATGTAATGTTTTTATAAATCACCATATCTACATACCGCAGACAAAGTTCAATCAAAATACATATCTATCTCAATGAGCGTAAAACATAGTTTCAATTACCGTTTTAAAAACCATTCATTTAATGTCAAAAAGATAACGCGAAATGTCAATCAGAAATCGAAAATAAGGAAATACAAAATAATTTTAGAATAATTTATTACAGATCATATTGGCTTGACTAATCATGGAAAACGAAGAGTCCCAAGTACAAGCTCACAAGTTGCTTGGACAGAAGAATGTTGCAGCAACAAGAAAAGATAATTTTCTCACAAAGCGTCTACGATCATGTAAGTATAAATAACTTATCTTGTTTGGTCTATCGTGAATATATGAAAATGTATCACCGGATAAACGCAGATATTTATTCCCGTGGTTTAGGTTAATGAGCCTGCTACAGTGAATCATGGAAAAGTCGTGTCATAGAATAATGACACAAATAGCCCCGATTTTCCAAAGTGTCACCCAAACGACACAACTTAGAGTGAACGCAACATGGTCATTTAGCTCTAAAATAATCAACGAGAAAATCAGAGATTAGTCACAATCGACATTATAAAAGTATTAGATTTTATTAATGATTTAATTTATCAATCAATAGTTTTGTCTTTTTTGCTTCTCGTACGGATACTCGCCTTTATAAAATTCATTTTATAGTAGACGGCGTATATACTGTTTTATTGTTGAATTTTTTTTGTAGGATTTTTTCTCATAGTTTCTATGTTGAAAAAATAACGTGAGAATATATTATGCATTTAAATTATATTGCTCTTAATATTGTAAACTTGTTTCGTACTGTGGCGCTGTTATATTCCTTCAAAATGGAACAGACATCGAATTTCAAATCAGCGCTCGTAAAATACTGATTTTCTGTATTATATTATGTATATAATATATATCTGCTATATTATTATGTATTTGATATTTTTTCGGGAATTATAATACAATGGCAATATCAGCGGACAAATGTTTAAAACAGTAAATATGACATCGATTTGTTCTCTTCTTTTAAAAACAGTTTCGGGTAAGAGGTCATTACATTTTTTTAAATCAAGAACTGAATAACAAATTGATGGGCCGATTTGACGTTTCAAACTTATTCCACTTACAATATTTACAAGAATTTTATTTGAACTTATACATTTTTTTTTAACATTCGGGACTGCTCTGCGTTATGGGAGTATAGAATTAACATATTTTCTCACCGCGTTATTAAAATGTATTAATTAAATTTTACGAGAACTTTTGACATAGTTACCGAACTTCATGATTTCATTCTACGCGACAGTCTACTGATACATACCATTCCTTATCTAGCGGCTACAGTTAGAAGTATTTTTTTTTGCAAACATCCTACTGTCTCGAATGTCTTAAGCTTGAAATTTTGAACGTTGTTCAAACCAAATTGTAGAATCTAAAAGGCGAAACGATACTTCAAACCTGTTTAAAGTTCAAACATTTTTTAGACCGGAGCCTAAGGCACTATTCGGAATAATATAGGCATTTTATGTGGAAATAGGCTTTAATCTTTGTAGGCAGCGGCTTGGCTTTGCCCCTGGCATTGCTGAAGTCCATGGGCGACGGTAACCACTCACCATGGTGGGCCGTATGCTCGTCTGCCTACAAGGGCAAAAAAAAAAAAAAAATTTTTATTTAGTGGGTGAAATTGCCAAAACATCGTTATGAAAAATTCGAATGTAATGACAGTCATTTTTTAAAAACAGGAAGAAAGAACATCGGATGCCGTTGTACGATTTTCCAAGTCAATGCAAACCTTACATATCGTTTCCTTCCCACGCAAAATTTCGTAGAGATTCTGTTGGTATATTATCTGCTAATGATATATTTACCAATTTGTCAACAAATTTAAGGCACCATAACAATATATCAAATGATATCTAGTGGAGCCTGAAAACAAAGTCTATAAGACATTATTATGGATTAGATATATGGACTACGATATAGATTTTATTTAAGTAGCAAAGATATTTTGCTGGTTATGACAGAAATAGTGATACACCGATAGCTGACAATTTCATATGATTCAAAACAGACAAGAATCAAGTTTTATATAAAGCATCAATACTATTAAGATTTTGATTTTTAATTTTGTATGAGAACTCTTAAAACGTGAACAAAGCTATTGACGTTCCATCATTTATCATCTTATTTGATGGTACTACTAGCTGATAGGAGCAGACTAGAATAGAGACCTCGATGTTGAACACATTCTTAATAATAATAAACGTATATAAAGATACAATTTGAAACTAGATATACCCGTCCGCTTCGCTGGACATTTAAAATTAACATTATTATTTCTCATCCCCATAAAGATTCTCATCATTAACGCCCCCGCAACTGGTGTAGGGAGTCCAACACTCATATAAGTATTAGCTTATCCATTAAGTACATGTATTTTTTACATGGATACCAAGTTTCAAGTCAATCAGATGCACGATTCAGTAGCTATAACCGAACATCCGTAAAAACCACTGTAGATTTATATATTAGTATAAATAGATATACTGTTCGAATAACAATTTGAATCACTAGTTTTTTTGATATTTTGACATAACTAATATTAAAACAATACGTATCCGATAACTATGCATTACAAACAATCTTTACTTAAGCTAATCCGTAATTTATAAGATATATACCCTGCTGGTCACTGTGCGGTCGGCTTAAGATCAAGTTATGTAATGTATAAGGTCTGTTATGTAATTGACCCTTTTGAATATATTAATAAATACGCTATATTACATATTTTGGATCTTACCGAAACTTTTTCTCTGTCTAAATCTTGGATGGAATTCAAATGTTGACGCAATCTTGACGTCCATTATTTCTTTTCTATTTTGTTTCAAAATTTGGTTTAATCAAATCAATGTTTGTATCATTTTCTGCATTGAAATTATTGTTAAACACGAAAACTCTCTCTTTTTATCGTCCTAGTTATTATCCCACGCGGTGATAGAGTGAGCTTTCCTTATGATTCTCCTCCATTTCGTTCTATCTTCGACATCATCGTCAGTAATCATCTCATTGTCTCTTGTCCTTCAGAACTACATCTTTCTATCTTGTCTTAGGTCTTTCTCTAGGTTTCTAATCAGGGAGTCAAGGAGTTTGAGCTGCAGCGCCAAATTTCCGATGTAATCTGATGGCCTAATTTTTACGTACTTATACCATGTCAGCGTACTCTCCTAAATCTTGTAGGCGATGTGAATACAAAAAAATAATTTAATATTACGTTTACAGGTTGCATCATACCCCAAAGATACATTCTCGGAGTTATGGGGCTAATGGGGGTTTGTAATGCGTACACAATGAGGGTTTGTCTTAATTTAGCCATTACTCAGATGGTAAATAAAACTATAACAAACGAGACGCATGCCATCGATCCATACGCATGCTCCAGTGGCGACGTTACTGGAAATGAAACTGAGATTCCAAAACCGGTAAGTTGAATTGAACGTTAATATGAATAGATTGTTTCAAATTATATAGCAAAAATGTAATATTTCATTTATTTCGATGCGTTCAAAATCAGCAAAGCTAATGAATATAACATTAAATTCAGACGTTTGCGCCTACAATTACATTCTCTGATCGTATGATAGCTTCATAAATTAACTTAAATATATCTGGGATAAGTTAAATCTCCTTACGATCCACCCGAACTATTTCTAAGCGAAATTTAATTCTAACTTTTTTATTTTTATTTATTGCTTAGATGGGTGGACGAGCTCACAGCCCACTTGGTGTTAAGTGGTTACTAGAGCCCATAGACATCTACAATGTAAATGCACCACCCACCTTGAGATATAAGTTCTAAGGTCTCAATATAGTTACAACGGCTACCCCACCCTTCAAACCGAAACGCATTACTGCTTCACGGCAGAAATAGGCGGGGTGGTGATACCTACCCGTGCGGACGCACAAGAGGTCCTACCACCAGTAACTATACAATAGCTAAGTAAAAATCGCTTAGCTGTTGGGAAGACTGGAACTTTACCAAGAGTGCACGTTGATACTGACAGACAGATGAAATATTAGTCTATATACCAACAAAGGTTCATTGAAATCAGTATTACATAGAAATTGATGTAAACTCTTTTATCTTTATTAATGGCAATCCGTCATAACAAACATGAACGAAGACGTGTACGCCAGACAAAACCTATTATTTTGTTCTGAATAACACATGAAATGTAATAATAATAAGCTAAATGTCAATAATGTGATATTTTTTTTCTATTGATATGTCACGACTATTCAATGACTATCTTATCGTGTGTAGAATTCTTCCGCTAATATTCAGATTAGTTTAGAACAAAACTGCGTAAGCCTTGTTTAGATTTTGAAGGTGACTGATCACTTTTATACAAATTTGTTGACGTAAATCCCCATAAAATCCAGATAGGAAATAAGATTTTCTTTAATTATTATTATTACATTATTACATCATATTATTATTATTATTTATTTATATTTATTTAAAATCTTATTAATTACATAATATTTTTTAAAAAAGATATTAAAAATACGATTTTTAAAAAGCACTATATAAAAATAGATTGCCGCTGATGGCGGTGTCTACGACACAAGCCACCAGTGGTTAGGACTCCAGAGTGAGAAACCTCCTCACAATGCGTGCAGTATCGAGGATAACTGCTTTCTGTGTTAGGCCCTTAACCCAGCTGGATAACGAAAGTTTCTCAAGATGTTGATCGAAACTTTTCGCTATCACCGTGTACCGATACAACTATTGGAACAATGATGGTTGAATCAACATGCCACATGGCGGTAGTCTCGTGGGCCAGGTCTAAATATTTTATTAATTTGTCCTTTTCTGTCCGTATTCTATCCGTGATAATAGATCGGTCCCAGTAGAGCGTAACATGACTATTATCAAGAACTGGTTGAGGTTGGTATTGGTAATAAGATACAGCAGAATCAAGAAAACCATATTTCAGAGCAAGTTGTTGATGGATAATCCTAGCCACTTGGTTATGTCTATGCAAGTACTCGCCGTTTGCAAACCGAGAACAGCCAGAAACAATATGTCTAATAGACTCTCCCGGACGGTGGCATGCCCGACAAATGTCGACCGTCCCATCCTTTAGTATATATTTCCGGTAGTCGTTCGTCATGATAACTTCGTCCATAATTGCAAAGATAAAACCTTCAGTTTCCCCAAAGAGGTTACTGAATCGTAACCAGGCCACGGAAGCTAATTGGTCTACATCAGGCCCTGTGAGAGCCCGGTAGAACCTACCGTGTAACTCCTTGCTTCTCCATACGGTTATGCGAATATTATTATTATTATTTATATTTATTTAAAATCTTATTAATTACATAATATTTTTTTAAAAAGATATTAAAAATACAATTTTTAAAAAACACTATATAAAAATAGATTGCCGCTGATGGCGGTGTCTACGACACAAGCCACCAGTGGTTAGGACTCCAGAGTGAGAAACCTCCTCACAATGCGTGCAGTATCATTATCAGTATCATTAATTATTATTATTATTATTATTATTACAGCCCAGGTGGGCTGTGAGCTAAAAAAAAATTTGTCGGCAGTTGTTTACTGGGTTTAGCACGTATTGTAAGTCCGTGGATATTTTGCTTATTTCTGCAACGATCAACTGGTCAATTATGAATTGGAAATACTTTAAAATTTGAAGTTACTAAATACAACCATAAGACCGCATTTCAGCATATTTTAAATAAAGAGCCCTTTTAACCTAAACCAACTCACTGTCCTCATTCTAGTTATGATACTAGGTCATAATGAAACATACATACAAAGAATGAGACGAACGATAAAGAAAATTATGAATAACATCTTTACAAGCCAGTCATAGCATTCATTACATCCATGTATTTAAGTGCATCTTTAAATCAGTTATTGCTTACATGCAATGTTGATTGGCTGAATGCTTTTATGCCAATTTTCAGTGTAGAAAATAATATGATTCTAAAAAACGTATTGGCATTAACCTAGTGTGCAGTGCAAATAATATTAAAGCTTAAATAATTCGCTAGTTCACTTGACATTTTATGGGTTTTATGGTAGGCAGCGGCTTGGCTCGGCCCCTGGCATTGCTGACGTCCATGAGCGACGGTAACCACTTACCATCAGGTGGGCCGTATGCTCGTCTGCCTACAAAGGCAATAAAAAAAAAACATTATCTAATTTCCATGAAGTATTAATACATTTTTATTCTTCTAATATATCCCTTGTTTGTCCTACAACCCATGTCTTAATTAAAAGTAATAATTTTAGTCAATTTAAGCTGTCACTCTTCATATTATGAGCATGATAATGATACTTTGCAAGTTTTTTCTCACGACCTAGTTTAATGATATTTATGTTGGCTCACTTGTCACGACTTGATAATCAACGTACATAAAACTGTTTAAAAAAATGATAATCGACTTTTCTTTCCATTTGTTCTTTTTTTTTATTAAGATTCGAAAATCGAAAATAGTTTAGAATCGAATCTTTTACAGCATTTTTAAATCCTTTGACCGGATGTTACCTATGTCAAATTGGCGTGAAGGGTATTTAAGTACATCAGATTTTTGATACCGGAAAATTTGTCATTATCTTTTAATAATTACTAATGGCTGTGATTGTGACTCCGCACGTGTAGACGCATATAAGCCTAACGTGAAATATTCATGCGTGGAACAGTCGTTGTTCAATTTAATTGCGAGATCGACCTCATTTCTCAAGGTAGATTGTGGCAAACACGTTGTTATGCCTATAGGCTCCAGGAACTACTCGACACAAGTCAGAAGAGAACCAGACTACTCATATAGAGCAAACAAGTATATTAGATCCAATTAAAACCTACAATAAATCATATCCTATATTTTTTATACCTATTGGAATTCCTGCAATCCCAAATAAAGTACTGAATTGTAAAATTGCTTTCTGTACCCACGCCCTATCAACAATTTTCGACTTAAAAACATTATTCCTTGATTAATGTAAATATTAATGTCAAAAAATGAATAAAATACTGTAGGTAAATTATAAAATTGACTCTCCTTTAATTTTTGAGTTGTAGACGCGATCAAAATACACATTATTCATGTATTGATTTCATGGAAAACTTACTGCAGTACTTACTACTTAGTTACAGTAGGTAACAATTTATATAAAGTATTAGATTACTTTTTCCCTATCTATCCTAGCTCAAGGGGCTATTCCAGCTTCTCGCGGACGGGTAGGTGAGCTCACGGGCTCAACCTGAGAGAATTTGCTAACACTAGCCCTAGCAAGAGCAGTGCTTCACAGAATCTACCACAGAATCGAAACTGCGACCCACTGAGAAGATCTGGCGAGAAACTCAGTGTGTTGTTAGATGACAAAACTCAACGATACGTTCCAATAAACAGAAGTTATATTGAATATTATAAACTTGTAACTATCTACTCTCTCTGTTGTATTGTACATATTTGTTCACCGATTATTCGATTAAGACTTTGTAACTTTATACCTCTGTTTCTGATTTCACATCACCAACGTAAGATAAATTGCAAACGATTATTTTGTACTAATGCTTAGTTTAATTAAAAACTAGATGATGACCGAGCTTTACTCTGTTTTTTTTTTAATAACGCCATCTTGTTGTGTCTTTAAAGCAGTTAGTTGCCTTCAATTAAGAAAAATAGTATTATTATTCGCCAATAGATGTCGGGAAGAGTTGATTTTTGAAAACACGAATAAATCAACATTTTCTAAATGAATCGTAGCTAGATCGATTTATCGCTCCTGAAATCCCCTGTATACTAAATTTTATGAAAATCGTTGGAGACGTTTCCGAGATTCAGATTATATATATATATATTAATATACAAGAATTGCTTGTTAAAGGTATAAGATACTCTACATATTAATTTTCGTCTTTTTCAGTACGCCATATTTAATTGGAACGAAACAACGCAGGGCTTAATTTTAGGTGGATTTTACTTTGGATATGCGGCGACACAGGTACCTGGTGGATATTTAGCGGAAAAATACGGTGGTAAATGGACTCTTGGCCTGGGGTTGTTGAGCACAGCGCTTTTTACATTTCTGACACCGTTCGTGACTAGATTAGGAGGTGCCACGTGGTTGTTTATTCTTCGAGTGCTGCAAGGAATGGGAGAGGTATGTTGTTCTTTTCAGTTGTAAGTTTTTGATTTTGCTGTGTATGTGTAGCTAAGACTACAATGCGCATACCAAGATCTAAATTGATAAATCATATCCTATCACAAATACAGTTGATAGTGGTGTTTACGAATGCATCTTCAGTACGCCCTACCGTTAACATATTTTGCAATTCAAGAATTTTATTGGGTGTTGGATTGTGCTCTCGGCCTAGACGTATAGTTAACACCAGCCCACCCATTTTTGCCGTAGAGGATGCTATGCGTTACACCAGATGGGCCGTGAGCTCTTTAATAAATCAACGCAACAATATAATTCATGGAAACTAGGAATTATTTTCTTTTCCTAAGATAATAATTTCATAAGAACAGGGGAGATTACTTAGTATTTAGTGATTAGCAGACTCCATAGACAGACAGACCTTAGTGTCAATTCTATATGAATAACTTGTCAAACAAAAACCAATTGTATTACTGCATCGAACGGTGTCTTTTCATATGATAATATTGAAACAGGTGCTTTTAATACAGCGGTGTTCCGTTGGGTTACGTAATATTCTATATGTACTTATATTTATATGGAAAATTCAAATCTGCATCCACACGTTCAACTTTCCGTATACTCAATATTCATTCGATAAAATTTATCAAACCTGGACTTAAAAGGTTTTTATTTTATATTCAGTTAATTTATATTTGACAATTTAATACTTTTACCCAGAACCCTAGAAGACAGACCCTGATACCTAATTTAATGATAAATTTTCGCAACTTATTCAACTGAATCAAAAAAGTATTAGCAATGTAAACTCATTAGCTTACCCACGGCTTTCTTCAGGTTAGTACTATTTCTCAGAGGTTCTGACGCATGTTTTTGTACCACAAGGGATATAAGTTGGTTCAACCGACCTAACGCATCCAACACGTAAGCGAATAGGAAAGTACGGTGATTCCTTTTTCACCCACAGAAATAGAAATGAAAAATGTGAAGTAACAGTAAACCAGCTACAAATCAAATTTGTTTTTAATACACTTTTATTAGCTTCACACGTATGTATGTTAGTATGTAAAGGAATTTTTGAACATGATTTTGAAATTTGGCGTACTTATTAAGGACCGATAACAATTCAATATTTTATAAAAAAATAGTGAAAAATTGAAATTCAACTAAAAAATAGAAAATAAATTTTAGGAGTTTTAGTATCAGTAGTTATAAATATTTTATGAACAGATATGAGCAGAAGGGTTATTCTGATAATATCCTGAAAAACACCCGACGCTTTTTTACAATAAAATTATTTTATCTTACATTAATTTTTAATTCAAAATCATTAAAATTTATTTTCTATTTTCTTGTTTGATTTTCTATGAAGCGTATTTTGCTAGGTTTTTTTTTAAACTGTTATTTATTTTAATAATGATTTAGTAATTTCTTACATTTCAGGGCCCAACAATGCCAGCTCTTATGATAATGCTAGCGCGCTGGGTGCCTCCGAACGAACGTTCTTTCCAAGGTGCTCTGGTGTTTGGTGGTGCTCAAATAGGCAATATATTCGGTTCATATATGTCCGGAATATTGCTAGCAAACGGAGCAAACTGGGCCTATGTATTTTATTTCTTCGGTGGATTTGGTATTTTGTGGTTCATTCTATGGGTTAGTTGATATTTGATCGTATTACTTTGGTTAATTTGCTAGTAAATGGATAAAGAGCCCACAGTTCTAATATTGTGTCACTCGATCATTTGGAATACGCAATTGATTTTGAATTCATATTTTTGGCGCTAAGCACTCGTTTTATTTCCTTTGATAATAGCGGCTATTATTAATGCTATCGAGATTTTAGTCTCGATTCTCAAAGCTATTGACATTCTCCTTGTGACATTACAAAAATGCAACGCATATTAACGTTTATGTGAAAAAAATTAGGAAACGTATATCATCAGTTTTAGCAGCTATATCTACATATTCGGAAATTGTATTTCAAATAAAAAAATTAAACGATTTTATATTAGGAATCGAATTTGTAATCTTTCAGAGCTTCTTATGCTACAGCACGCCCAACAGCCATCCGTACATCTCCAAGAAGGAGCTCGCTTATCTGAACAAGAAAGTGACTACAGCAGACACTGCGAACATTAAGGATCCGGTTCCCTGGAAGGGCTTGCTTCGATCAGCACCTGTGTGGGCTTTAGTGTTTGCTGCCGTAAGTAACACATTGCAATTTTATAATTCGATGATTCGAATTCACTATACATTAAATTTAATCGATACAAGTTCTTTACAAAAAATTATTGAAGTATTTGATTTCAAGCTACATGCTTTTATGAACGTATAGTTTTTTGGTCTATCCACCCTTGCTCAACTGATCGCCAAAACGACTTAGCTCTTTGTAAGGTCAAACGTTTCAGAAAAGTAAATCCTATTGAAAAAAGCTGGTTAGTGATTATGTAAATGTGTGAATAGTGAATATTTAATATAATTAAAATGGAAAATAGTTCATATATTAGAGCGTTACATACGTAATTAATCGAATTAATCACTGTGTTTTAAAAATAATAAGGGATATAAACGGGTGGTGATGTTTTTATCGGTACCCCTCCAGTATCCATTTAAAATAAAGTGTAAGTATAGGATTTTTTTTTTTTTTTTTTTGGTCAGGAGGAAATCGCCGGACTTCCGCCCTTTTCTGGGGATACTGGGCGGGGTATGTCAGAGTCGAACTGACTAAAATGTTCATATGTATTAAAAAAAAACTACAAACAAAGTAACAGATTAATAATTTTTCAGTGTTTTTTTATTGGATTGTCAACTATGAGATTCTTGTTGTCTAATAAAAATCATGAAAAACTCACAGATGTGCTCAAAAATACTTAGCTTTAAATAGTTTGCGTCAAATAATTCACGTTTCAACATAATTTTATAGTATTTTGGAGCGTAATTTTCACTAAGTTCAAGACGTTCAGTTAATCTTAAATTTATCAAGGACTGATGATAATGCAATAACTTTACCTATTACTTTAGATTAAAATCCTAACCAGGATGATCATTACCGTTTTCAGCATGGTTTGTTATTTAAACGTAATTTTTAGTTTTAAAATATATAATTAACGTACCATAATAAACTCAATTCTTTTCAACGCAAGAATGATCACCCTTTGCCGGAACCACGGTAGACTGCATTACGAGTCCTTGATATTTCCACAAAAACTCAACGAGTAGTTACTTTACGAAACAAACAATACAAAAAGGTATTATTACCAGATAATTTTGCCATTTTTATTAAAAGTAATAGTGGAAATAGTGAAATAGGTAATAAAATTAGAAAATGCTTTTTTTAAACGTATTTTTCGATTTGTTAATTTTTTACAGGTATTTAATTTCGATAAATGTGTGCAATTCATACATTAAAGATACACACACACACACACACACACACACACACACACACACAAACACACTCTCACGCATAATGACCTTCTGAAATGATAGCACCTAATGATCTCTCAACACTCGTCCGCAGCGTCTGTTCACGACTTAACCTAACCTAACCTATTTTAAGAAGGAGGGAGCCTGGAGATCATTAATACATGTCTTTGAACCTAGTACAGACTTCAAAGCTCTTTCAAAGGTTGACAAAATAAAATTATAAGGTTAATTTCTATTAGTATTTGTACTTATACCTTTAAGAGAGAAATAAATAAATAATTATTATTCACAGCAGAGCGTGGCCAGTGCTTTGATGTAATTTACCAAATAAATTTCGACATTTTTCAGATTTGTTTTGTTACATTTTCTTGTTATCATGGCAAAGCCTTCTAAAAAATGTACAGATCAAAATGGAAGACAGGGTAGGAAACCACTCAGTTTGGCATAGCAGCTGCTGAATGGTAACGATTGCGAATACGTTTTTATGGTTCGAAATGGACAGTGATAAAATTTATGATGTGGTCTTTACAGGCTGCAAAAACCCCTCATGATCGAGAAGAACAATGATTCGTATCTCATCATCGTAAAAAGATCAAACGTAAATATGGCTTCAGATAATCTATACTTGTGGTCTTATTCGTAATGAGTTTTCGGAGCATTACAAGACCCTTATAAGAATACTGTCGAAACAGTTTGGGTTTTCATTTTTTTTTTATTGCTTTCATGGGTGGACTAGCTCACAGCCCACCTGGTGTTAAGTGGTTACTGGAGCCCATAGACATCCACAACGTAAATGCGCCACCCACCTTGAGATATAAGGTTCTAAGGTCTCAGTATAGTTACAACGGCTGCCCCACCCTTCAAACCGAAACGTATTACTGCTTCACGGCAGAAATAGACAGGGCGGTGGTACCCACCCGCGCGGACTCACAAGAGGTCCTACCACCAGTAATTTCTAAACAACTATTATTACATGAGTTACTCTAAGACCTTTTTTAGGTTAGGAGAATTCGCCTTAATTCTATTTATGCTATCGTAGTGATAGGCACGTAGGAGTTGAACCAAATAAAGGTTTCTGTCGCTCACAAAACTGCATCCGAATTTCGAATCAGCCACTTGAATCACTGTATTTCTTTCACAAAACACACAGAATTCGTGGGCGTATTTTTATTGGACATTTTTTTGTTTACCAGGCTTTTTCTAACCTGCCTGAAATAAATCTAAATTTTGAATTTTCAAAAGCCATTAACGCTATCACCACATTTACATTCATTGAGTAATTAATTCTAAAATTAAACACCTGATTCATACGTTGATGAGTAATATCACAGATGTATCCATTCACTAAGAAGCTGGCTTCATTTTGCAGAATGTATTTTAAGTGCTTATTTTAAATATAAAATTTGTACTATTGAACATGCCCATGCTCAAAATAAGATACCCGACTTACCCGTGCTGAATGGTGCGACTATATCAGGGTTTCAAACCTACGACCATTCACGTTACCTTTAACGATTTTTCGAAAGCTTTTGATGCCTTCATATTATTTTCATGGAAGACTTTTATGTTACACTAGCTGACCCGGCAGACTTCGAAGTGCCTCAATCGATAAATTAAAGACCGAAACTTTTGTATAAAATAAACTTAAAACAAACAAAAGGAATTCGTCCGACACATCAAAGGGAAAACTAAATTGTTATTTTTATTTCATTTCGAGCCTTTTCATATTTAACTACCTTTTAAACTTTCTCTGGACTTCCACAAATAATTCAAAACGAAAATTAGCCAAATCGGTTAAGCGTTCTCGAGTTTTAGCGAGACAAACGAACAGCAATTAATTTTTATATATATAGATAGATGAGCAGCAGCGTATAATAAATAGCAACAGATAGGAATAAATATATGTAATTAACACGTTAAATTATTTTATCTAGTTTCTAATCGCGGAGAACGTTGTGTTCTTACGTGGCTAGAAACTCATAAGACCAGAGAGCTGCTATATATTTTCTATAAGTAAAATTAGTAGTAGTGAAATTAAGCACAGGAAATTGTAATTATTAATGAACTAAAAAAATCTATCCTATAATTGTAAGGATAAGAATAATATATATTAATCATTCTGAAGGTTTTACAAATAGTTCGGGATAGACCAAGTGATTATCAATTATAAATTGTTCACATTTAGCTTCTTCGATCTTGTAACCTATCATAATAATGAAAGGTTACAAGATTATGAGCTATAGAGTATAGTTTATACTATCGACAACATAAGTTTTATATACAATTTACATAAACACGGCTACCGTAAGCTACAATATTTAACCACTTTCTAAATAGTACAAATGCACAATGACACAGCGAATACAGTATTCTTTGACGTTAATCAATAAATAGTATTTACCCGCTGAGATTCTCTCTGAATCTTTTCAGTTGGTCCCGATTCCAATCCAGTGCTATATACAATCGCGAAGCAGTTGCCCTTGAACTGTTGGACTCAATTTGGGGACGCTCAGATAGTTGTAAGCAAACCTTCCTTCCTAGCTGACCCCTTGAGTTTGCTCACTCCACGCAGTTAACTGGCAAGGTCTTTAGTCTAAATGCGATATTTGCTACATAACAAAAAAGATGCAACCAAGATAAATTAATTCTGCGAAGTTTTAATTTCAACTAAATTCCGTTAAAATATTACTTATATAGTTGGTCTGCGATGCAAGTTATACGATGCAATGGATGAATAACTTTTTCGCAGGTCGGTCACGATTGGGGCTACTATACAATGGTGACAGATCTACCGAAGTACTCCCAGGATGTTCTTAAAAATAAAATCGAAACTACGGGGATCATAACTTCAGTACCCTACCTCGCCATGTGGATTTCATCATTCTTATTCGGCCTAGTGTGCGATTTGTGCATCAAAAAAGGTTGGCACACAATAAAAACTGGAAGAATCATACACACCACTATCGGTAAGTGTGTTTTGCTGGTGTAAATAGATAGAAAATCCGACGGCTTAACTATTATCAAAAGTTTTCCAGAGTTCGTAGAGAACATGAATAATGTTATTCTGCTTCAGCAATTAAATCGGATTCTCAATTATATTGCGTGAAGATCCTGTTCTGTCCTTAAATGCGGAACGCATGACTACTTTGAAATATTTCCGCGTAATCTGACTGTAGCTGTAGTAGCCTTATTTTATGTTCTTAATCGTGCTAAATCGTGACATTAAGCAATCCACCTTTAAGTATGATGGATTGGGTAATCAAGATAAAAAAAAAACTTTAGTTATAAATCCTTCCTTTGGTCATCATATTACTACAATATTGATACTAATCGATAGTTTAACAAAAAAACTTTACACTATAACTTCTAATCAAAACATTTTGCAAGTCATAACTTTTTTTATTCACTTTTATCCTCAGTACTCGAAACTACAATTCATATTATGGTTTAGTTGGACTCTTCAACTTTCATGACAAATTATTGCACTACTGTTTTGAGTTGTAAAAACAGTAGTGCAATAATTAAATTAAAACCTAAGCTAATAACCTTGAGAGGCTCTGTCAGCGTAACCTAACAAGTAGGTGAGCTCACGGGGCTCAAAGCTGGATGACATTGACACTAACCCTAGCAAGAGCAGTGCTTCGATATGTTCGTAGTTGGTTTCATATAATATGTAAAATTTACCTTATGTATTCCGTTAATTTTGTATGTAGCTGCAACTGGTCCCGCCATATGCATTATCCTCGCCTCCTACGCCGGCTGTGACTCTACTAAGGCCACTATTTATTTCGTCCTCTCTATGGCCCTCATGGGAGGCTTCTACAGCGGAATGAAGGTATGTATTTTAGAGGAAATTCAAATTGGCTGGCATTTAGGTGTTGACATAAACAATATCCACGGAATAATGCTCATGATATTTTTTAATCACATAGAAAAGTTTATTGAATAACAAAATATTGGGCAGAAAACATTGTACGAGTGTGACTTGGATCACGAGGGCTTTCAAATTCATTCATATAAAATTGAATCTTTATAATAGAGCTTGAAAATCCAATAACTATTAACGAGAATGACAATCGCCTATCAAATATTCAGAAAAGTAAGTGGCTGTTTCCTACCATTGAGAGGTCAACGATCTAAATTTTACCTTGTGTTAAGGGGCTCATAGACACCTCAATGTGAATACTACTTACTACCTATGCCTACCTTGACATTTGAAATATCAAAATATCGGATAGAGGAACTTTCTCCGAGACCCGTTTGCCCGTTGCCCTCGTAAGGGTGCTGGACCTTATAATGAAATATCAATTACATTAGAACAAGGACTTTCATCGTCATTTTATTCGTTACATTACAAAAGGTCCAACCAAGGATACGAAGTATAGAACCTCCTCGTGATCAAGTGTTTACAGGAAAATTATTGTTAGCCCCAAGATCGGAGCTGTGACCCAAATGCAAATTTCGAAGAAGTTGGGTGTCTTAAGCATTAGGCCACAGACTTAACACTAAACGTTTAAATTATCTCGTATCAAGATTAATAATCAAGTATTTTTTTTCTGCCAAGGTTAATGCGTTAGATTTGGCACCAAACTACGCTGGTACACTAACATCATTGGTGAACACAACGTCTACTTTCGCTGGAATCGCAACGCCATACCTTATTGGTTTATTGACCCCTGACGTAAGTATCAGTTCAACTAATATAACTAGTTATTACTAAATATTCATACTAATATTAATAATTAAGAATATTAAAAATGTGAAAGTTGGTAAGTTTGTTACTTTTTGACTAAATAAAAAAAATAAAAAAAACAAAACCTTGAGATGAAATTTTGCATAAAAATCGTTTAAACTAGGATTGAGACAAGATACTTTAGATGGCAAAAGACATGACCAGGGCAGCGCCTGGTATATCTCCTCTAATATATGCAGTGTGTTCGTTGATTCATGAATTTACCTACCTTTGGATTTACAAAAAGACTGGACTTTATAGGACAAAGAGTAACAAAAGTTATTCCCCTATTCCAGAAAAATGCAACTGTTTCATTATTCTTCAATTGCAATTTTAACACGACTGAAATCATTAGGCACTTCCAGTAAGCTATAAATGTTTATCTTTGTTTATTATTTAAATTAATTTAATCATGAATTGCTTTGGCACAGTGGTTTTGCTATCTTTCAAATGAGCCTAATTATTTTATGGTAGATATAGTTATGTCAGATTATTCTATCTACAAAGTAACTTAACCATAATGTAAAATCATTAAATTATGGCATTTAGTTTTTTTTTATTCACAAATTTCTTCTAAATCGTAGGAGACTATCAATGAGATACTATATTGATTTAGTGCCAATCATTCCTACTGATCGAGTTGCGGTAAATCAGATTGAAACAAGCTTATTGAGAATCCTTCTACCTAACGACAGACGCTTCAAGAACCAACTACTTGATAAATCATTGCTCAGTTGATATCAAAATCCGAAGCTAACGAGTAGAATGATCATCGTAAAAATATCGTGATAAATCTATAGCCAACTGTAGCCGACAGGGTTTGATGAGGTGAAGCCGCTTGTGAAAAATTGGAATGGAAGCGAGTATCCTTGACGAAATGAAAGATATCTTACGTTGATATGATCGGATATATTGAACGCAATGTGATTGATATGAATATGTGCCAAGGTGCGGAACAAGGAAGCGCTGAGTTCCGTGATGATGTATCGTATTACGTAATGTTTGTTATGTAAATCAGTAAAGTAAATGCCTTAGGTACTTACATACTTAATATTAGAGCGATGAAGATGGAAAGTAATCAAATATCTTAACATTATTAAATTTTGGCAGTAAGACGGAAAGGAAAAATATTTATTCATCCGGAAATTCGCAGTTGCGAAAAGACTCGGGTATACGATCCGGCCACTTGAAGTTAATTACTTATCTTTAGCGTGTATTATCTGTAGCATCGGTATTCTAACGTGAATAACACTATACGTACCTACTTCACGTATCATCCTGTGTTTTTGCTGATGGCATTGATACGTTATGAGACCCAGATGGGTAGGTACCACCACCCTCTCTATTTCTGCTGCGGTCCAGCTTTGTGATATGCAACTATGCAACATAACTATTCAACTTGAACTTAACCTTATCTAATGACCAAGAAGACAAGACCCTTTGATAACAAAGTAATCTTTTGTATTTTCAGTCAACAATAGCTCAATGGCGAGTGGCATTTTGGGTGTGTTTCGCGGTGTTAGTTGGCACAAATGTGGTGTACATAATATGGGCCGACGGAAAGCAACAGTGGTGGGATGACGTCAGACAGTACGGCTACCCGCCTGGCTGGAAACATGGACCCCTCATACGTGAAAACCCTGAACAAGCTGAAGCAGTTCAGCTATCTGACAAGCAGTGAAAACTAGTAAAAACCAATGTTACTTTAACTGCATTTAATGCCAACAAAATTGTGTCATAAAAGTATGTAAGCTGTACAAACTGATTCAATTGTTATAAATTAAATAACGTTCCAAACGACATCTCTAGTATAAATAGGTACAATGTTTCTTAGGTTTATAAGATTTAAAAGTAAAAATACAACATGAAGGTACAAACTATGAAGTCCAATCTGTATCAAATCCAGCTGGTCATCATTAGACTATGCAGTCCTATACAGCATTTCTAGCTGAAGCGCTTTTGAGAGGATGTATAATAATAAAAATTAACAAAATAATGGTAGTTCAATTTTGTACTGTACTTTTACATAATCAATATGATTTTGTGAATCACAATTTAGAGAAATCATTCCTACGCTAGATTATGTACATTAATTATACTCAGAACAAAAAATATTACGAATATTTTTTTTGATAAATCTATTGATATTATTTTTAAAAAACTCAAGCGAATTAGAGACATCTCGCATTTCTTTACTAGTGACTTTATGAAACATTTAATGCATATTTCGTTTATTACCAACATTAAAATTTAAATAGTTCTTGTTCATTGCCAATATTGTATTGTATTCGATTTTGATAAATACCTACCATAAAAATTATTGTTTTAAATAATAAATTTTCGTACTTTGATTTATATATATATTTGTCAAATCACTGCCATCATGTTTATTCCAGTGTGACTAGTCATTCAAGACATAATATGTTACATGTGTTATCGATGTTACAATGTGTACACATTTTGTATTACAGTAGTAATATAATAATTTTAATTTATTATGCTTTTTATTGCCTATAAAAATAGTTAATCAGCAGCTAAAGTTTGTGTACATTGAAATAACTTTGCAGCAGGAACAAATAAGATAGTATTTTATTTTTTTATTTTTATTGCCTACATGAGTGGGCGAGCTCACAGCCCACCTGGTGTTAAGTGGTTACTGGAGCCCATAGACATCTACAACGTAAATGCGCCACGCACCTTGAGATATAAGTTCTAAGGTCTCAGTATAGTTACAACGGCTGCCCCACCCTTCAAACCGAAACGCATTACTGCTTCACGGCTGAAATAGGCAGGGAGGTGGTACCTACCCGTGCGGACACACAAGAGGTCCTACCACCAGTAATTACGCAAATTATAATTTTGCGGGTTTGATTTTTATTACACGATGTTATTCCTTCACCGTGGAAGTCAATCGTGAACATTTGTTAAGTACGTATTTCATTAGAAAAATTGTTACCCGCCTGCGGGATTCGAACATCGGGGTGCATTGCTAAATACGAATGCACCGGACGTTTTATCCTTTAGGCCACGACGACTTCAATTTGCCCGATCTTTAACGAAAATTCTACTGGACGTAATTTGATGGAAGCTCTCAATGTGATATCAGAAACATGCACTAAAATAAAATACGATCAACGTACGGTAGATGGCGCCCAAGTGTCATCAAGAATATGTTTTTTTTTTACAATTAATAACGTTCACAGCGAGACCACTTTTTTAATAGTTATCAAGTAATAGTTGGGCCAAAAATTACATCACACAAATTCTGCTCCAATTAATTAACGTTGCGATATTCTCTTTACACTTCAGCGGATCACAAAGACTAGTTAGTCATGATAACAAAATTATCAATTGCCAACTGAGGTCAATTACTATCCATGATATTTACGTCATGTCAACCAATAAATGAATAAGTTGAAGACCTACTGAGATACGTAAACTAATAAATTTTAATCGATTAGCAGCAAAATCGTTTAGAACAAATAATGTAAGAAAAATAAGTTTATTAATAAATGAAAAAAAAGGTTTTAAAATGTAATATTTGGTACACCGCCTTAATTTCTTAAACAATCAAATTATTTTTTTACGCCATCCTACAGGATTTCTTGTGTTAAGTGATAGCCGGAAAATCACAAAAGCGAATTCCAACACCCACTCATAGATATGAGGTGGGAGTTTTATTTGTAATTTACGGTTATTAAGTACACAAAGCTGAATGCTTGACATTAAAAAAAACAGGATTATGGTATGCCGTCACACAAAATCACCAACATGCCACCAGTACAAATACTTTACTAAAACCATTTTGAGTCCAAACGTTTAGTTTATATTTACGGATCATTCAAGGCTTAAAATATTGGTATGGAAGTATTAATACAAATTTATTTCAACATGGATGTAACATGCTTACTGAATGTCAAAGTAATTTCTGCCAATTAAATAAATAATAGTTAAAAAAGCTAACAAAATATGCTTTTATAGAAAATCCAACAAAAAATTTAAAATAAATTTGAATTAAAGATAGTGTAAGAATACTCATATCTGTTCATAAAATATTTATAACTACTGATACCATGCACCTCACGCTTTTTTTTTAAATATTGAATTCTCATCGGTCCATAATAAGTATACCAAATTTCGAGTTAATCCGACGTTTTGAAGGGGATCAAAATCATGTTCAAAGATTCCGTTACAAACATACATACGTCTGAAGCTAATAAAAGCGTATTAAAAATGGACAATCCTGAGAAACCCGGTGAATCAATTTCAGCAGTTATTGATAAATATTTGTATTGTTTTAAAAGAAGACTTGTAGAACTACACTACAAATACAGTGATGCCAGAAGTGAATGAATAAATGAAAAGGTCTTCCCAGAAACTACCAGTAGAAAATTATAAATAAATAAATAAATAAATAATAAATAATTGAAAGTTAAATCACGGCCTGTCGCACAAAAGTTCTGACTGATTTCATAAATCTACAAATTGCTGGTAATTTTTATTGGGCTCTTATTGAGAAGATACATAAATAGCCAACTAAAAGATCTATTTTTTTCGATTCTATATTATGCCTTTTGTACGCACTATGCAGATCACGGATTGGGGTAAATCATCAATAATTTTACGTACGTCTGTATCTACAATTTTCAGAGAAATAGAATATCAAAATCATATTCTGTTCGTTTTTCAGTCTGCCGCGTTGAAAGTCACCAGAAACCAGTCACTTATCTGATGTATACATAATAATATGTATATACAAACACAATCGAACTGAGTGTGTGCGTACAAGTGTTATCAGTTACAAGCGTTTCACAAATATGCCAACTACATTCACTATGTTTAGCATAAGTTTTGTTATCAATTTGTTTTTATTGCCGTTGTAGCCAGACGAGTAAATAAATGGCCCAGATTTTTTATTTATTTTATTGTTTAGATAAATGAAAAAGCTCCCATCTCACTTAGTGTTAACGGGATACCGAAGTCTATAGACCCACCATAACATTAATGCTTATACCCAGCTTAAGACTTGAGGTCTATTGCCCGTGAACTCTATCAAAAAAAAAAAAAAATGCCCTTTTATTTTTTAACAATTTTTCAATAAAATTGTCCAGTCCTAATAGATTTGTTTATCGTAGTTCTCCCTACGCTTCTTTGATTCAATAGTTCCACCTTAAAATTATATAATAGAGTAGGAAAGCGAAATAAACATAGAACAACAGTATATTTATAACAAATTTCTGACACAGATTTATTGATAGCACATCAAAATATATTGCAGCTAAAATACAATTATTAAAATCACAATAATTACGTATATAAGTTTTTTTATAACAAATAAACTAGATTATAATAAATTCACTATTCAACCCACATCGATAAGAATAATAAACAACAAACTGTATATAAGCAATTTTGTGTTCGCGGTCTGACGAAATTCTTGTGGTTCTGTCAACGTTACAAATTATTTTGCAAATAAAAACTTCATGAAAGAGGAAATCGAATAGTTATAATTTTATACCCCAAGGCCAACTTCCAAACAAGGAGATAGGCATAGACTGAACACACATACATAACCATTCCCTACATATTATGACGCACGCACGTTGCGATTATTATAAGATTTTGGTTTATAATTATTGATTTTCCTATTTACATCATAGACGAGTAAGCAAGCTTACGGTCCATCTGGTGTTAAGCTGTAGCCGGAAGCCATAGACATCACAACGTGAATATCATCCACGTAGATAAAAAGTCATTACATTACATACTATTTATTAACTTTAAGTTAGTTTACTATCGGATCTGTATCTTTGCTTTAGGTCAGTGAAAAAGCTTGCAGTCTTCCTGATCTTATGTGATTAAGTTAAGTGATTACCGGAGTCAATTATATAGTGTAGCTTGTCGATTCTCCAAGAACTCCAGATAAAGACAAGGCTTTCTACCATCTGCCTAAGTAGAGTTCTAGAATACTTTGGCCACATTGCAAGAAAGGATCACGGCAGCTTGAAGAAGTTAATGGTGACTGGCAAGGTGAACGGAAGAAGACCACGAGGTAGAGGCCCGACACGTTGGACTGACCAGATCCGCACTACCCTCGACACCACAGTTCACGATGTTCTACACTCGGCGGCAGATAGAGGCAAATGGCGTGGAATGGTCCGTAATAAGCTCTTGTTGCGAGGAGGTGGTCACGACTCTCAGTATTGAGGAAACCGAAGCAAGAAGAAGAAGTAGCTTGAAGTTGAACTGTAGCTTTAATTTACTAGTAATAAAGATCCTGCATTGCCTCTTTCTAAATTGTTTTGTTATTTATGTCCGGTTGCTTATCCATGCGCTTTAATCTGGATATATCCGTAACAGACGAATGCTCAATGCGAATTCGACTACGAGCTTTTCTCAATTCTTTATTCGTGTCAGCTATTAAGGTTTCAAGGTTCGCTTTTTGCTGTTTCAATTGCAGCACCTAAAACAGTTTTAAAAATATATTTTCACTGAGAGTGTTCGTCGACCCAGTTCAAAACGTATAAATAATTAAGTTTCAAACTATTTCAAGTAGATTTTTCAAGCATCAGTTTATTTTATAAAGTTTGTCACGGTTTCACTTATTAACTGACTCGATTGTGCACTAGTTAGAGCCGAGGGTCGTGGATTCTATTCCTACATTGGAGAAACATGCTGATAGACTTGAGAGGCTATTTCAGCTTCACCCTAACATGTAGGTGAGCTCACGGGGCTCAAACTGGAAGTGTTGCTAACACTAGCCCTAGCAAAAGCAGTGCTTCGCAGAATCTACCACCGGATCGGAAACGCGACCCACTGAGAAGATCCGGCGAGAAACTCACTGAGCTGTGTCCATGGGTTAATTCTTCGAGCCCTTCGTCGCAAGCGACGGGTTCGACGAGGACGGTGATCGGTGCTTGAGGCACCTAAAGGCAGCGTTAATGGATCGGGAGGATCCGTAATAACGTGTTTTGGGCGACGTCGACAACATTCGTGTTATGAACAGGTTTATTCGCTCTTTGTCTGGTTGTTTATTATCTATATATGTATATATTTAAACGTTTATAAGTATGTAATTCAGTCTCTGGTACCAATAATACAGGGAATCATAATTTGAGGTCGTATGACCGTACGTGATTTGTTTATAACAAAAAAAAACTGCACAAACGTTCAAGATACAATTTTAAATACGCTGTAGGGGTATAGATAGTTTTTTTTTGTCATCATTAATGCCAGTGAACAGGAATAGAATTTAAGATAGTGAGAACGTATTCAGATTAATAAAAAAACAATACGTATTCAACGCCTAACAAAACTGTGGCAATAACCTTAACAGTGTAATGTGTATTAAAAACAGATAGGAGCTTTACAGTTTAAAAATGTACGCCAAGTGAACGAAACACACCCAAACAATTCATAGCTTAATAACCAAACTTTATATACTATAATATTAGAGCATTTTCTTTATAACCGCTTTAAAAATTCTCAATACGTCATTTTATGTACATAATTATTATATATCATATGTTTTTTAAATGTACCAATTTTAAGGAGTCCATATTTAGAAATTGGTGCTTATTATGTGGTCTCATTTAAATTTTACAAGAAGCGACTAGTACTTTTCGAGATTTTCTGAATAATTAATATTTAATTCGACAACATGAATGCTATTATGACACTCATTTTAAATAGTCCAAGTCGATTTTTTTTTACACTGAGATTTTGTTTTTGTATTTAAAAAAAACACTATTTATATATTATTTTAATTGTAATTAACCTAGTAAACAGCTATTAAATAAATCGCTAGACCTACAAAGAGGTAGTGAACCGTTTTGTAGATACGTATGTACGAATAAATATTTTCATTACGTAAGTAATAAATTAGAGAGATGTTAATTTTTACCTTCAATTTAGTAAAACATTTACAACGAAGTATTTTGGTAAGAGACATAGCGGACGAACTCAATATCTATCTGAATTTCAACGCAAATAAAACCGGAAGGCTAAATATCGGATACATTTCGGAAGGTACCACCACGCATCTCCAGATATAAATTACAAGTCCCATAGATTTTTTGATAACATATATCCAGACTTAAGCTTGACTTGACTTGAACTTAAACTGTAAGGCGTAACTGATTCTCTATTACATTAACCAGAAACACGGTACCTATACAAAATTTAAATTTTTCATACCATCTTAGCATCGCTACTTAGGCAAATAAATTAATTCCGCGTGTTTGATTAATTGTATCTAGACGTTGTTTTTCTTTTTAACACGTTTCAAGCCCACATTTTCTTAAAAAATATACTGTATATTCTCACTACTACATTATAATTTGACTGGGCTACAAAATAATAGGTATAATATAAAAAAATCGTTTTTATTTTTTTTTGTTCACGATTCCAGCCTTTTAAAATCTTTGATAGAATTAAAGTATTTGTCTCACCTGATCTGTCGCGTCCTGGTAATCTCTCAAGAGATCTTTTCTCGTCAGTAAGCCTGCTTTCAATCTCTCCGCTTCTAGAGACCATCGTATTTTATCGCGTCGATTCTGATGTTGAAAAAGAATTTAAAGTAAATAGTCATATTTTGTACCTCAATCTGAATTCATTGTGACTTATATTCATTTTTGATGTAAATAAAAGTTGTATTTTGTTTTAAGACTGATTAAAACCACAAAAATGCTCGAAATTAAACAAATAACTCCTTTAACTTCCTACAAGTAAAAAACATATGAAAATGATGATGAAAATAAAACGCGATTAGTAAATCTAGACAAATCTGTAGGAATAATTCCTGAGTATTATACGAATATACCATATTAATTCATTCATTTTTCAATCCTTACATTACAATTTTTTTTTAAAGTAGTTAATATTATAAGCGATTCGAGCACCCAGCCTAATTGCAAATATAAAATTCATCATGTTTAATGAACATTGTAGTGTCTTGCATTTTGTATCTATACTAATATATAAATCTACAGTGGTTTTTACGGATGTTCCGTTATAACTACTGAACCATGCATCCGATTGACTTGAAACTTGGTATCCATGTAGAAAATACATGTACTTAATGGATAGGCTAATATTTATATGAGTGTTGGACTCCCTACACCAGTTGCGGGGGCGCTAATGATGAGAATCTTTGTGGGGCTAAAAAACAATAATGTTAATTTTAAATTACCAGCGAAGCGGACGGGCACAGCTAGTAATATAATATAATATATAATCGTATATTCTCACAGCTATTTTATATTCAACTATTTTATAACGGTCAGTAGTCTTACTTTAACCTGACCAAGATCTTCTCTGGCGCGTAAAAATTCAATTTCAGCATCGCCGAGGTCGCATTCTGCAAAATCGATAACGTCATCCGTGTGATGCATTTTCTCTCTAATATGAGCTAAAATCTGATTATGCTCAGTGCATTTACTCCGATTCCTTATGAGTTCGTCTTCTCTTTCTGAAATTCAATGATCCATTCGTGAATTTTAAATTTTAACTTTACTCTCGTTTGGTTGAAAATTCCAAACTTATCCCGCTAAAATTTATGGCTTTCGGTCTTATTACTTTCCAAAAGCATGAAGTTCTTACTAAACTAAATGAGAAGAAATAAGCTATTTTATTTTCATATTCATATGAAATTTCGTTCTAAATCGTTTTATTTTCTTGTTAAATTTATGGTTAAAGTAGTAAAATGCAGATAAATCTGTATGAATTGAATTCCTATACTAGCATACACATTTAAGATTACAATTACAATTTTTATTATATTTCAGCATTATTATTAAAATAACACAAATCTACAAATTACCTATTTCGTTGGTACAAACAGAAGCTGCAACGGTAAAGCTTGAAGAATCAAACTTTACAGGAACTTCCTTCTTTTTTTTTCTACCTAAGCTGATGGTCTAAAAAGACCATATCAGCGTAACCTTTACTACTAGGTGAGGTCACGGGGCTCAAACCTGAAGATGTTGCTAACACGAACCCTAACAAGAGCCGTGCTTCGCAGAATCTACCACCGGATCGGAAACGCAGTGGGCTGTGTCTGTGGGTTAATTTACTCGTCGAGCCCTTCGTCACAAGCGACGGGTTCGACGAGAACGATGACCGGTGCTTGGGGTACCTAGAAGCACCGTTAGTGGATCGGGAGGATCCGAAATCACGTATTTTAGGTGACGTCGACTGTTTACCATTTGGTCCACAGGATCGGCTATGTAGTTTCCGGTGGCCACGATGAGAAGATTCTCATGTTGTGCCGCTTTATCGAAGTGGGGAACTTCTTCAAAACTATCCCACGTAACTATATCAATAGCAGTCAATCTCAAATAACCTTTGAGAACATACACCGACTTATGTTAATAGTTTAGCAAATATCACCTTCTATTTTTGTCATATAGTTTTGATGGTCGATGTCCAATTGTTCGTACTGAGCCACATATAAGCCAGGCCCGAGCATCTCGAGTTTTCTCACTATAGCTTCAAGTTCAGCCACAGCGTTTCTCGCACGAATATAACGGAGGCATAGCGCTGACGACTGCTCGCATTTTCGTCTTTGAAGCGTTAAAAACCTCTGAACTGTCTGATGACAAATTCGTATAAATTATCAACACGAAACTTTGGGTACTGAATGTATGAATGAAAATTTTATTTATTTATTATTTATTTATTCCTTAGACGGGTGGACGAGCTCAGTGCCCACCTTGTGTTAAGTGGTTACTGGAGCCCATAGACATCTACAACGTAAATGGGCCACCCACATTGAAATATAAGTTGTAAGGTCTCAGTATAGCTACTGTAAACGGTTGAGACCTTGGCTCAAGTATAGTTACAACGGCTGCCCCACCCTTCAAACCGAAATGCATTACTGCTTCACGGCAGAAATAGGCAAGGTGGTGGTGCCTACCCGCGCAGACTCACAAGAGGTCCTACCACCAGTAATTACGCAAATTATATTTTTGCGGGTTTCATTTTTAGTACACGATGTTATTCCTTCACCGTGGAACTACTTAATAATTATGATAAAAATGAATAATAAAATAAAGGCATCATGTTTCGTATTTCAAACAAACGGGAATACCGCTCATAATACGACCTCAAGTAATAACTGCATTGGCATAGAATTGAACGAACAACATACATATTAATGCATTTGTCGCATTGTGAGACACATGACTCATAAAAGGGGAAAGTTCCAATGTTGAAATTGAAGCACGGAACTGCCACCACACCTCTACCATACTGCACTGCATGCAACCATTCCGGTCAAAGAATATTTCTACGGTAGTATTGTCTATTGCTGGCTGGCTTACTATACTTTTTTGGGGTATTATTATATATAAATGATACTTTAATCAATCTGCCATTCGCTTACGGTGGACCTTCTTACAACTATAATATTCCGCACCCTACATGCTTCCGATGCACAAACAACTTAAGCAAGCATTGCGTTATTTAATGTTTCCTTTCGTGTACAATTATAATTAAAGACTAACTTATCATTCTTATAAATGAACGTTTTCATTGTAAGATACCGTAGATGTTGTAAAGGTCGTGTAGTTCGGAAGTACGAACTAAATGAATTTCTCAATAATTATCATTACCGATATTAAGATACATATATGGTTTTGTTACTTTTTCAACTGCAACTTAATATATATAGATCTAAATGTTACATAGATTATAAATTATTTTCTTAACTCAACAGATGTTTATCGTGTATACATTACTAAGTAGACCATCACTAACTTATGGAGATGGGGTTGAAGTGTCAATTTAATTGTAAAAACCAGCTTACGCGCCCTTCATATCGGAGTACATGATTAATTAGCGACAGAGATGGACAAGACGGTGTTCCTCAATTTGTGGCTGCCGTCGATAATCGCTAAGCTTGATATTTCAACAAGTTTGTTTTTGATGAACTGAGACATTTATATTTAAAAAATTACCCTTCCGAGCTAATCCCAAAATACAATTACCTTGTCAGCAATGGGTTTGCCCTTTTTTGAATAAATTAGGCCTGTTCCTGTATTCTTCTCGTAGTTCTCCAATTCGTCAAATTTTTTTTCGGCTTGTTCTAAACGATCCGCGTATTGCAGCTGTACAGTTTGGACTTTTGCTTTGATCTTAAATAAAATTGAACGACAAATTTATCATGCTAAATTTATTGCTACTGTTTTTTCTTTTTTTTTATTGCTTAGATGGGTGGACGAGCTCACAGGCCACCTGGCGTTAAGTGGTTACTAGAGCCCATAGACATCTACAGCGGCTGCCCCACCCTTCAAACCGAAACGCATTACTGCTTCACGGCAGGAATAGGCGGCGACTTGAATTATTTTATTTATTTTATAGTTTAAAACTATTTCTTCGCGTCTGACAATATATTCTTACATTAAGCTTGTTACTGTGTTTTGTTAGTTATTTATAACATAATACTGTTCCTTACATCCGCTATTTCTCTTTCCGACTTTTCTTTAAGTTCTTCAAACGAAAATAGCTTTTGTTGGTACTTTTCCTCCAAATCTGCAGCTCCGTCTAGTTGTTTTAAAACATGATCCAGTTTACGTTTTCTGTACAGAGATATCAAAATTCACGTATTAATTTAATATTATTGGGTTGAGAAACATCAATAATAATTACCAAAATCAATAATTCTATTCATGTAAATAGAATCATTTGTAAGTTATAAAACTACATATTACGTGAATCAGGAAATAGCAAGCAGACTTTAGATATTCTGTCCATGACAAAAGCGATTACAAAACCATGCCAAATCATTATACAACAATGTTTACTTCAGTTGAAATTTCACGTGGCTGGTATGTTTTCTTTCATTACAAAACGTACGAAAGACCGAGCCAAAATCGTGACTGCTAGATAAATAAATCAGACATCGGTTTTTATATTTCAGTTTGAAATTTTATAGCCACCGCAGATGCAATCTTAAAAAATACAGATTTAGTTTATTATGTTTGACATTCCTCTTATATTACGATTGTTAAAAGATTATATTCTGTGCACCCCAAAAGACCAATTCAGTATGACCAAAACAATACGTGGGACTGGAAATCGTTACACTTCCCTAAATAATTTCGTTTAGATTATTTTTATGAAACAAATGCAGAAATTTTGACTTTCCATTTTAGATTCAAATTTCTGACTCGAAGACCCAATCTTTTATGTTTATATTAATGACACAAATATTAATAATAATAACACTAATACTAATAACACACTTGAATTGTGAATGAATAACATTGAAAGAAACATACTTATAATACTCAGCCAATCGACGATGCAGTATATTGTTTTTCAATAGTTGCTGACTGCGTTCCACGGCCAAGTCTCTATGAGCTTGCAAGTATTCGTCTCGATCTATGGTTACAGCTGCTGTGGCTACATTTTGTCCGATTTGTTCACTGCCAGTTTCATCATTATCCTCAACTGGTTCGGCATCTGTTTTTTTTTGTAAATTGCGTAAATCTCACGGCTCACTTGATTTGGACTCTCAGGGGATTTTTCAGATGTGTGAAGGATATCCTATTTGACAATGGCTAGTTATCAATATATTGTTTGTTTTTTTTTTGTTTTTTTTCTGGAACTCGTAATTTTATGTTTATTGCAATTTTTTATTTTTATTTGTAATTTGTAATTTTGTTTTAAATTTTGCCAAAGCTATGTACATTAATACGGGTTTGCTGAGTGCATATACAATTTAGATTGCAATCCAGATTAGATCTAGGTACTACTTGTACGATTTAGCTAATATGTACTGTAATGATTGTAATTTGTTTTGTGCATCAATAATTTAAAAAAAATTCAAAAAATTTAAATTGTTACCTGAGTCCATTGATATTATAATGCCTATTATTACTACCCAACTCATGAGGTCAAAGTCTAGATTGTATTGTTTAACGGCTTGAAACCAAAACTCCTTTAGTAACGCGTGACGGTGATACCTACACTTGCACACTTACAATACGCTATACAACCGGTGAAGATTGGATGTTGAAGATGGCAGTATTCTGGTGTAATCCTCAAAGGACGTTGCTGCTCATTTTCTGATACATTCCTTGGTCAGGTTTTAAGACACGATAAGAGATAATTTGGAAAATTCTAGGTCGATAGCCGCGTGAATGGAAACTATACGAGTCTTACTTAACAACGAAAGTACCCCTTCTAACTTTAAATTAATAATTGTATCAACAAAAAACACAAATGCTTTTTCACAAAAGGAAAAATTATTTGTCCTTACTCGTAATCCATGAATAATATCTCGAAAAACATTTCACTTTATGAAATTTTAAATATTACATTTAAATAAAATTAATAATAAAATTAATTTCTAATTTCCGCTTAGTTACGTTTCGAGCATGTCAAACTCGACAAACTGAATTCACTAACAAAACTTCTTTAGAGTCAGACTGAATCAGTTTCCAGGTTCCTTGAAACTTCTAAGCTGTAACGAGCTCAATGTTTTCGACAAGTTTATTAACGTACATACAGTATACCGTTGCAACTATCTCAAAGTGCACTCGGGTTCCCGTCGCAAACGATAGAGATTAATTTGAATTTGCCTCAGAAATGCTTTATCGTTCATCGGTATTATACACAAAACCTAAGTACATTTGATTTGTAGTTGAAATTCAAAGAATACATGAACCAGAAATACGTTGATCAAAAAAAAGACAAATCTCTGTGACTTAGATCACTCCAACATGATTATAATTATAATTTCACGAAAATCTCTGTCCGAAAGGAGTCTGTTTTCTTTTTATAACATACTAACTGACCCGGCAGACTTCGTAGTGTCTCAATCGATAAATAAAATATATAAACTTTTGTATAAAATAAACTTAAAACAAACAAAAGGAATCCGTCCGACGGGGGACACATCAAATGAAAAACAAAATTGTTATTTTTATTTAATTCCGAGCGTTTTCATATTTATCTACCTTCTCTGGACTTCCACAAAGAATTCAAGACCAAAATTAGCCAAATCGGTCCAGCCGTTCCCGAGTTTTAGCGAGACTAACGAACAGAAATTCATTTTTATATTTTGTCGTTACTAAACTGATAATGAGTGATTACTGATGGCCTAGATGCCTCTCCAGTTCCACCAGGACTGGAGGACGAGCAAAAACTTAGCCAAGAGGGGTAAAACTATGATGGACTTATAAAATAGTCCGAACGGGTAGATACAACCATCCTACCTCTTCCTACCGCACTACCTACAGTCATAGATTCCACTTTAACATGTGAGAGAGCCGTCATACAATTGAGACTTTGACGTCTCATTGTGATATTTATGAGGTCAGATAAATACTTAAAATCAGATAGCCCGCAAGCTCTTCAACTATCTACGCAATACGAAAAAATGGTCGAACCATATTTGGTTACTCCTGGGCTTCGTAATTTTAATGACGTTTTGTTTTTAGTATTAAAAACTGTTGGAGTTTGAATATAAATGTAATGGCAGGCAACACTTGACACATGATTGCAGATTTCGAATATTAGAATTATTTTAAATGTTTAAAAAAACAGATGATTGTATTCTCCTAAGAAAAAGTCAGTACTTCTCATCTAGACACAGCAAGAGAAACATGTAATAGTTTTATAAAAAATATAAAGATAATAATTTTATAATGGTGTAAAAGTGTTCAAGCTATCTGCAATATAATTATAATGAAGCAGTGTGTTTTTAAATAGCCCCTTATCAACCTAAAGAAGCCAATCCCCTCAAATTTAACTGTCCAACAAAAACATCTACATAGTAGAACAATGTACTTTTTTGAAGCTATATAAATTACAGATACATATTTTATACCTAACTGTTCTACGAGTATATTGGAGATACTCACCAAGAGAACTGTTCGAAATATCAATTTCTGGGTTCTCAATATTCGTTTTAGAATTTCTCAGCTGCGTCTGAAATGAATGAGGGGAAATGAACGAAAATTTTCCTTAAATTTTTTGTATATAAAATGACGACTGTTTTTAGAATGTCCGATTCATATTTGAGATTAGTGATGTCATAATCGCACGAACTTACTACCCAACTGGTTTTAAATGGTTACATGAGTTAAATATCACACAATATTGTTTAACGGGCTATTTCCGTAGTGTACATAGCCGAGAAAGTTCAAAACAATTAGTAAGGGCTCTTAATGCACTCTACCGCAGCTCAAACCTAATAGTAATTAATATACTCATAATGATAAGTAATTCACAGATATATAATATAATAATATGTCCATGTTATGTATTAAAAGTATGTAAAGTTTTTATTTCCTGTTTGGAACACTAAGGCTAGCAACATTAATGATGGCCCATAAAAAATTCAACTGCATTCTGAATTTAAATTCGTGTTGCTGTAATAAATTCCCCAGACATTTAATGGTAGTAAAAAGGATCGCTCGGGGGTGCGTTGTCGACCTACGTAACAATCCGCTTGCATGTCACGTAGAATCCATTAATTAAATTGAAGAGGGACAAAAACAGTACCTTAGACTCAGCCATCGCGTGATCCGTTTGATTTAGCCTGCTTTTATTGATCTGCTTAGGGTTACAGCCGAAATTATTTTACTCCATTATCTACGTACCGTAACGACATGCGAAGACTGCCGTTGCTATGGCAACGCGTAAACAGATATCGAACCATCGGATCCTTCTTGGTTGGAACCGATCTCTGGAAGCATTACGTGCCAGTTTTGAATTCCATTGTAATAAGTAATAAAATGTGCAGTTTTTAATGTAACAAATCATGTAACCGTGTGAATTGATTTAACATTTTTTTTTCTGATATATTGACAATTGATGTACCTACAGACTGTGTCATAAGTGTTACAGATTTTGTCGTAATGAGAATACGCATTTTCAAAATTCTGGTGCTGATATCCAAAATGGGGAACAGTAAATACTTATGCTAATTTTAGGCATCGGCTTTTGGCAGGGACGATAATCGCGTTTTCTTGCTCGTCACCCATGTTTTAAGCCAATAAAACATACTAAATATTTAATAAAATTACCGAAGAATAGCAGAAGTTTCGCAGCGACACAATTTTTTTGCAGGAACCCTAACTAAACGCGACGTTAAATTATTTATTCTCAATTTGATTAACGGACTTAACAACTAAGCCGAATTAAAACTTTTGCGGTTTAATCTCGCGTGTACTGTTTTCATTACTATTTTTGACCTTTCGAATAATTTACAGCTTACAGAGCGACTATCATCCGTCACGACGAAAAGCCGTAAAAGTATTTTTTAAATTAAGTATACGACTCGTAAAAGCGGGAGAAAATACAAACTAAGCCCCTAGGTTAGTTCTTGTTGTTGGTCAGATTCTCTACATTTTTATAAGTCGAGTAGGTAAACTTATCAATCATAGATTTGATTTTTGATCACGTTCTATTTGAGATAAGTTTGATAATTACGATCATGTTTTTTTTCTTACAACTAATTAATAAAATTCTGCTTAGAAAAAAATACATTACATAATATTCGAAACATCTCTTCATTATATAAAAACAAAAACTTATTGGAATCGAAGCAACGTGGAAACGAAATAGAATATAATATAAATTATTTATAACGTGTTTACATACAGAATCTAGATTTAGATTTTTCGTCGAATAAATTTTGACATTCTCTAACTCTTTTAAAAACAAAAAACAAAACTCAAAGGTGCCTTCCAATCCGATCGGATCTTATGTATGTAATGAAAAATACACGATTAAAATAGACAAATAAAAAAATAAAAAAAAGACGCGTGGCACTCGGAGACTGCCGCGATATAGCATTTTTTATCAACTTATGCAATTATAAATCGACAATAATAATTTAATATTAAAACAACAATAAAATAAGATCCGGCAAGAAACTCAGTGCGCTAACTTTTAATGAATCTGCTACATTGTGAGTATTCCATTTTGACCGCGCACTCACTAGAGGGCGCTACATGGGATAGAGACACGCCTTTGGATACAGTTCTAACTCTCATTCGCCCAGAATCAACGGTTTAGCTAATTTATTTTTAATGCCACTCCAATCACTGAATGATAGAAGTAGTAATAAAATTCTTCGACTAAGCGATAGAAAATGGCACGCCCAACTCATTGTAATGTGATATAATTTTCTATTTTACAATTCCATTTGTCACCGATAGATGGCGCTTGACGCAAAAGCTGAATCGCGCTATCGTTGTGTTACCCACGAAACTATATCACATCTTTTTATAGTATATAAATCGGTGTTGAGACTTCTTACTTTAAACATTATACAAGCGCAACGTGTGAATGTGTTGAACGCGAGCTACATAGTAGGCGTAGTGAGGGGTGGAAGGTTTTTTACGTTACGGAATTTCATGATTCCGCTCTCAAGCCGCACTCCAGGCCCGCGATAAAATCTATGCAATAGCTTAATAATATCCATTTGCACATATTGTTACTTTTTTTTATGTGGCTTTACTACCTAACGCTACATAACATTATTGTATTTGGTATGTTTACCCTTTCAACGTGCCGTGGGTAACCGACTCTCGAAGCTCATGATTACAGAGTAGCAAACCGCTAATGGGTTTGCTTTGTTTCTACGTTTAATGTAACGAGATTTTGTAATATGCATTAATGTTCATAATTGGACTTGAAAAATAAATTTTGGTTTTAAATGTCTTTAGAATTTTGGGTTTACGGGATATAATGAGAATATATGCGCCATTCTGAGTGACAAAAGTTAAAGGACAATGCCCAAAAGTGGGCCAACTTTATGTCAAAACTATTTGTACTTGAAAAACTATGCCTTATTTTTTCACGTTGTTTAGTTTATGTATCAACATTTCTTTCAACCTGGCATTGTTTTCCAAAAAAATAAATTACTTATTTGATAACATCCCAAAACTATCCATGCCATAGTTTTTAAATTCGCCAATAGACAAAGGGCTTAGCCCATACAGCCTTATAGCAAACCTATACGCTACACACATAACACAAACAACGCTGTCAAACGAAAGCGTTGTTTGTGACTTGAACAACAAATTAAAAAAAAAAAGCTACTGCTTATAATTCACAGGCTTCTTAGTTTATTTTTGTTCAATTCAATATTTATATATTGTAATAATAATAATTATTTAAAACCATGAATTATTTAATATTTTTAGATATTAATGATTCCATTAGTAAAAATATCAATGGCCTACCATTACTCTATTCTTATTATAGTATATGATCAGAGAGTTTTGGCAGCAACCCGAGTGAAGCGTCACTTGAATTTTTATTTTAATGTTTTTTTAATAGTTTATTGTGTAATTTGTATTATTTGTATTTGTAATATTGTGTATAAAAGGTCTCCGTAAACTCATGCTCAGTCAATGGTATTCGTCGAGTTGACGTCTAAACTCCCAAAAAGCAATAAAAAGAGATACACCGGCTTTTTATTGACATAAAAAATATATAACTTCGACAGACTAGGCTGTATAGGCTACGCTCTTTGCCTGCTTATTGGTGAATTTAAAAACAACAACAACAATATCGTTGCGGGCTTCCGGATTTTCATTTCATTTTATTATTATTATGAGGATATAATAATAATAAAATGAACGTAAGGGCTTGTTTCTAGCAACATTAACCACAATTAACTTATTTAATACTGTAAATAATTATGAGAGCGATTATTGATTTCGAAGAAAACAATTAACAACTTAATTTTAGCTGCAGAAAAAAAACAGATTTCTCTTAAACCTGGGTGAGAATATAAAAATCGTTTTCTGAATATGAAACGATATTTCTTTGTCTATCAAAAGAAGTTAAAACCATCATGACAGAACAACTTTTTGTAGGGGCCCAAACGCCCATAGAAAATGGGCATTGTCCTTTTGACCATGATTCATGCTTTTTAATTTTATTGAATATTCTTTCCTTACCTACGAAATTGCCATTTAGTACAGAAAGTTGCAGTATTTTAAATTATTGAACAGCTTTTATAGCGGGTTTTGAGCATGGCGACAGAATCAAGAAAATCCGTAACGAAAATAAAACCTAATTGAATTTGTGAATAAACGCGCGACGTGACGTCCCACTGCATGCGCATCATGAAAAATCTGCCCATCTCTCTCTCTCTCGCGGTCTAGCTTATGAGTGTGAAGGGGACAGTTAATTTTTTGCTTTTGTTAATTTTTATAAATATAGCGTCTGATTATAATTGCATAAGATCATAAAAAATGCTATGCAATAGCTTTGCCGCGGCAGTCTTCGAGTGCTACACGTGTTTTTTTTTGTATAAAAAATATGTTTCTTTAGATTAAAGAGAAGAGAAGCGTAGAGAGGTCGACCGAAGAAGACACGGATGGAGTGTGTGAATAACGATATAAGAGAGAGAGGAGTGAGTGTTGAGACGACGGCTGATAAAAGAGAAAAATTAGCTGTGTCGACCCCACCTAGTGGGATAAGGTGGAGAAAAAGAAGAATAAGAAGAAGATTAAAATATGGCTTAAATACAACTTTGCTAGCACAGTGGTAAGTTTTCAATGCACTTTTCTAAGAAGGTCAGGTCTACGGGAGTCAATAAACTCTTCAAAGGCATTTTATACTGTCTCTCGGGTATTGGATATTGGTTACAAGGACTATTGAGTACGGTGGATGACGTAACTTCGAGCCCTAACTCTTGTAGACTAGAGATCATATGTTTTGTCATATGAGGTCGAGCGTTGTAGTCGTTGAGTCATATAGGAGCAGCGGGGTCGAACAAGGCTGGCCGGAGATTCACGAGCTTCTCCATCATTGTGTTCAGTTCCTCACTGTACACATTCGCAGTAGTGCTGGTGCCATTTGGTAAGAAGCTGTAATGAGTAATATCAGTACCCAGACCTGACCATCGGGCAGTGAACATAAATTTTTAGGGGCGAAATTTCGTTTGGGCCATAGCCTATCAGCTGAACCAGGGCTTAACCGATTAAGATTATCAAAAAGAATCCATTTTTCATCGCAAGTAACAGTTCGATTCAAAATCCCTTCTTTTTTGTATTTGTTAAGTAACACAAGGTACATCTTAACAGGCTCATCGCACTGGAGATCATTCAGTTAATGCGGCATCCACTTATCAGGTTTTTTTTACCTTGTTAATTTGACGCAAATGGACCAATGTGGTTTTGATGCTAACGTTGAAAGCTGTGACAACTCAGCGGTAGATTGATTATCGTCAGTTTCCACTATTATCAGTTCGTCGTTAGGCTTAGTTTTTGGGCGACCACTGTGTTCATTTTTTAGATAAACATTTACATATCGGAATATTTCAAACAAAAAATAGTTGTGTGTTCGCTTGTAGTGCTCACTCCGTACACGTTATTAATACTGTGAGGCATTTGAGCAACATTACTACTGCAATAAAACTCGTTTTCCACAATTACTTGTATTTTTATCATGCCCATATTGATGAAAAAGATATAAACGTTGTGAAAACAAAACACTAAACAAGAAAACTAAGAAAATGACTGAAATTCAACATTAAATTCAAATATTTTCAAAATGAAATTCTATTGAATTTATGAGTAGAAGTTACTGCCAGCCAAGTATGTTTCAACTGGGCAGTATTGTAAAACATCAACTTGATGTAAATACATGGAAAAGACGTCTTACTCGTACGAGTATTTATATGATAGCTTTATATGATATGATATAGGTTTATATGATATGATAGCGGTCTATTTTCATATTATATTTATATCTCTAAATACTTATCTAATTATAATGTGGTGGTGGTGGTGATTAGAGCTGGTACCTACCGGTGCGGACTCACAAGAGGTCCTACCACCAGTAAAAAAGACGGTTTTAAAAAACATGTATATTGTTTCCTCCTCCTTGCGTCGATAATACTTAATGCTAATGGTCGTGGCCTTCTTTAATAATTTTCTCCTATATTATCTTACACCAACCCTGCCTATCTTCAGCTGCGCGAATGGCATCTTGAACTGAAGTGTTGAGAGTAAAGCGTATCTGGTCCGACCAACGCATTGGACTTCTGCCACTGGGTCTTCTTCCGTATACCTTCGAAAATCGGATAAAGTCTGCCTATTATTTATTACTGACATCAAAAAGTCACCGATTGACCACTTGTTGATAATTAGACAACGGCGTAAAATTTTAGACGAGAAATAGCGGTTTGATGATTTAATTCTTATGTTTTAGAGCAAAATGGAATTAAAGTAAGCTTAATTTAAAATTTAACCGAATCATCATGATACAGTTGCAGTATCATAAATTTATTGATTTAACGACATCGTAATGTTTGGAAATTCTTCTTTTTTAATCTGTGTAAAATGTGAAAGATATTTACGTACATAAAATGAAATAGCCATAATAAAACAAACATGATTATTTTAGAATGTGCAAGGAAAACGGTTTTTTTTTTAATAATTTCAAATCATCACAAAGGATTTTGTTGGATCTGACTTGTATGCTAATCGGAGACAGGGTTTAGTGTGAGCCCGCACAAGTATCATTGTTTTGCTTGTTTCTTCTGCGAAATAAATTTTAATACCAGTTTAAAGGTGGGATAGCTGTGGTACAATAGAATTGAGATAAACGACTGGATTTACTAAACTAGACATTCACATGGGCCGGGACAACTTCTGCATAATTAGAACAATAAAAGCCACTTAATACTTTTATTTGTAAAGTCGGAGCACTTAGCAAACTGTCTATGTAAAATTTACGGCGACACTTCAGGGACGAATAACAAAATTACTAACCGGAAAACTATTTGGAGCCCTACGGAGGTGTGCCACCGTTCATCACAGAGCCGGCCGCGCGTTCAACAGTTTTTTTTAGGACACTAACCTCTGTTGACGTTGGCAATGTCGCAGCTCAGTGCTGGGCCAGTGCCAGATATTCGACAATGCGTATCCAAAAATAACCGGGTCGAAAATTTTATTCGACATTTTTTGTCTTGTAAAACGCTAAAGACCGGCGGCCGGTTCCGGTGAAGAACTTTCTTGCCCTTTCTAGAAAATCTATCGTCCGGCATATTATTAATTAATTTTACTTTTTTTTAATTTGACATCTTTGTCAAAACATCAAAGGAGTCGTTAATGTTTTAAATGTCAAGAATTCATATGTTAGATTACTGAATTAAATGGCCGAGAATTAAATTACTTAAAATATTATCAATCTTAATAATGTATCGACTTTGTTCTTTTAAATAGATTTAGGATCCTTAGTGAACGAAATATTTTTTTATAAATTACAATAGCCTTTTTTAAATAAAAAGCGACTTATTTTCCAAGAGTTTATTCAATAAAAAAGATTTATAAATAGGAAGAACGTACATTCGTTACACCAACACACACAATAATGCTAATACAATGGAATAAACAATACCACTTCTTAGGACAACTTCCGTAATTTTTGTAACAAACATGTTAACAATTTGAAAACATAATATAACAATAACAAAAACAGCTACTCCGAGTACAGATTATAATTTAAAATAATGCAACAAATACATCTTTATTTCTTATTGATTACGTGATCTTTTGTAGGGATATTAAAACACAATACCTTACAATACTGTATATAACAACTCAAAATAGAGACGTAAAAGAGATAAATATTTTACAGCATGAATGATATTGAAATAAAATCAAAACGTTCATTTGATCCTTCTTCTTAGCTTTGTTGTTTAAAGAGTAAATGTATTTCGGTTTAAATTATTTCAGATTTCCCATAATTATCGATTTAAGAGCTCCATAACATCCCTACATGATTTTATTACGCTGGCTCTAACTTCTAACGAATTCAAATATCCCTAAAGCTTTGAACATATTATTTCATTTCCCAACGAAACTTGGTCCCTACGATTTGTTCTTACGTGTGAGCATTTGCATAGAATATTATTAAATGCTCTTTTAAAATATTTACCCATGTGAATCATGGGTCTCAAAATTAATGTTTTGATCATATATTGACGTAATATATGAAACTGGTTTCCCTGCTTGTAAATGTATTCTAGTTTTTCATATATTTCAACTACAAGTATATAGTTACTCAATGCTAATTACGGAAGTGATTCCTATAAATTGTAATGCGTTAAATATAATAATGACTAGAATCAGTTTGCGAATATGTTTACGAGTACATGACAGCACAAAGTTTTACATTCTAGGTACGTGTAGATACAAACAATGCAAACAATATTATTATGACGAATATAAAAAAAACACTGCAGTCGGTTTTGACTTCGTTAATCCCATAAGACAGCGAATACATTAAAATCTAAATACGTATTTTACATTATAAATATTGCAAGCTGATAATTTAAAAAAAAATATGTCGCAATAAAGTTATTATTTCCGTCGCTTATAAGATTAACAAGGCGTTGTAATATAAACGTTACATTAACTCCAAGGTAATAGAATCAGTCAGTTGTCTGAGAGATGTAAGTGACGCGTACTCGATTGTTTCTCATACCGTGCACCGAAGACTTGGTCTTCGTTACAGCTATTAGTCATTTGAGCACTGTTCAGTAGAGAGTTGAGGAAGCTATCTCGCGAAGCAGTTCGCTTGAAGTTGAGAAAGACGTCATCGCCCGATGATGGTGGGTTCGTCGGCCATGGCGAGTTCATCGGTGGCTGCTTTGTCGCCTTTTCTCTTCCTTGAGTACCAGAGGAAGGAGCCGGCAGCAGCGAGATTGATAAGAACCACGAACCAGGCAAGAAAGAAACTGATGTGGTAGCTGTGGGAAAAATAATAATAATTATACTGTACGCTACTGAATGAAATTTGGCTAATTTTATACTACGAGTATAGTTAAATATGGTATAATTATATAGTAAAATGGGTTAAATTTTTTTATCACAATAATATGTTATTCCTTCGTCATGAAAATTAATAGTGGAGACGTGTTAAGTATTTAATTTAAAAAAAATTGTAGCTGCACTTGGTATTTGAACACTGACATAGTCACATTGCTCGAGACGTATACTTTTACTGGTGGTAGGACCTCTTGTGAGTCCTCGCGGGTAGGTACCACCACCTTGCCTATTTCTGTCGTGAAGCAGTAATGCGTTTCGGTTTGAAGGGTGGGGCAGCTGTTGTAACTATACTTGAGACCTTAGAACTTATATCTCAAGCTGGGTGGCGCATTTACGTCGTAGATGTCTATGGGCTTCAGTAACCACTTCACACCAGGTGGGCTATGAGCTCGTCCACTCATCTAAGCAATAAATAAAAAAAAACACTGGGCGTCTTATCTTTTGGACCACGACAACTTCAGATAAGTAAATAATGTAATGCCTTAAAATCAAAGTGTATGTATTTTATTTATTTTATTCAGACTCAAAGGTTAAGGCAGCTCTTAAGCCCATGTTTGCGCGTTCGAAAATTTCATTTCTGACACATAAATCACAAAGATTAAACAGAGCACAGAGTTTAAATATGTAGCAACTCACTTGTGGGTGGCTCGTTCAGGGTACACATACTTCAAGTTTTTCTTCATGTGATCCACCGAAGACATCATCACCTGTACCACCACGAAAGTACACGATGCTGCAATAACAATTTTCATATAAAAGAAATCCTTTCATTTCCTATGAAATAAGTCGAAAAAATATTATAATAAAAAGAACTTCGAGTATTTTCAACGATTGAATATAAAATTATTTCGAAAAGGGTTAACTTCTGCAAGCATAGTTGTTTTGACATGAACTTATATAAATGTCACTCCAAGTGAACGAGAACGAGGCGCCTTCTAAGAATTTCTCAAGTGATTCAGAGCGTGAATTTTATCAGAGAATAATCGAACTATTCATTAGGTATTTATTATATTCAACTAAAAATCTTATCGTGTATTTATTTTATATTTTGCTGTTGTCTACAAAACATCAAAATAAAATTTTTTAAGAAAAAGTCAAAAACATAATTAAAATTTCTTCGTTACAAGAAGAGAAATTGAAAGATTTTACGAAGACATTGAATATGCTCACACCAATACGGAAGAAAAGGTCATAGTCATGGGAGATTTCAATGCGAAAATAGGTTTCCTAAAAACAAACTACTATCCAGTAATGGGATAAAGGGGATCCAGAAAATATGGTTACGGAGTGAGTAATGAAACAGGTGAACGTCTCCTTAAGTTATGCTTACCAACACAAACTGTCAATAATGAACTCATTCTTCAAAAAGAAGAAAAGCCGCAGATGGTCGTGGTTATCACCAGACCAAAATACTAATAATGAAATAGATTTTATAATGATAAATCTCCATAAGCTCATAACTAATATCGAGGTACTAAGCAAATTTAAATTCTCTTCCGATCATAGATTAGTGAGAGCATCATTACTTTTAAGTCGTCCAGTAAAGAGCAGAAGAATCTACACAACACCATCTAGTATCCCCAAGACAGAAACAGAAATTAAAAACTATATCGAAAATCTACGAATACACACAGAAAATATAGAAACAGAATGTAAAGAAAACCCAGATTAATGAATATTAATAAAAAAATTGTCAATTATAACAAAATAGTACTATGAATAGAACGAAAGCTATAAAAAATTGTGTTACGTATTTTTGGGGGAGGTTTAATAACCTCCTCATATTATTATAATCTGAAATTAAAATCTCCTTTTCACATTCGTCGTGTACGACATAATAAATTTAGTAAACAGATGAACGAGTCTACTCTAAACGATCCTTATCTAGATAAATCTCTTTACATATTTAATTTGGAATGAATATTCTTAATTCCCCGGTACCTACATAATATTATGTTTTAATTTGATAAGAAAAAAATTACCAATACTGTTTTTTAGTTCAGTTGTCAATCTTGAATCTGAAATATTCTAATTGGTGCCAGAAGTACAATTAGTGCAAGAATACTACAGCATTTGTTAGAGTTTCAATGAATATAGCTGATTTGATGATCACCAGATTAGAAAAATCGTTGGGAACACCAAAATAATTAGTTGGTCGACCAATTCAAAATAAATTATTGAATACCGACATCAGATTATCAAATATTTTAAATCGTGTTTGTTTTACATCTGCTACGTGACAGTACAAGGTTTATGGCTACCTAAACAGTAATCCACTTGATGCGAAATAATAATATAAAGCTTCGGACATTTGTACGAGATCAACAGGAGAAATAATTTTAGATGTTAGATTGTGGTTGCCCTTTTTATTTATTTATTGCATGGATTGATGACGAGCTCAAAACCTTGAGGCATAAGGTCTAAGATTCAATGCAATAGCCGTTGTCGAACTCTTTAAAATGAAGCTCATTTCTGCTTTGCAGAGATAAGCAGGGTACCTACATAACCTTGCTATTATGTGCCATTATCTGGCCCATAGGCAACACAAACGTGTATGCCGTATGTGAAATCACAATGATTGTGTTTTAAAACGGTTCTCTCGCCAGTTAATCCGACTAAGGGTATTTTTATAATTAATCCACAATTTTAATTTTAATAAAATACCATAAATTGTTTCCGAAAAGTTCTCAAATGCATGGGTACATTAATACTGTTTTTTTACAGTACCTCATAACCTCCACAGTGCCGTTCTTAACTTAATTTTCCTATCAACTACATTTTTATTTATTTATTTATTTAGACACACCAACAGCAATACACACAAAACATTCAAGCTTAAAATTAACATGTATAAAATTAAGTACTGGTATGTAAGCCAGTTACAGGCATGTACAGCAATCTCTTATAACACACTATGACATGTTACAGCAATATATATATTTGAAAACAACATGAAAACAAGAGCTAACTACACACACTACTAACTTCACAGATTACTAAATAAGAAATAATGCACATATTTATATAGTAAAAAATTATAAACAAAAATTATAAAACTATAAAAAAATTAAAAAAGTCGAGCGCGGCAATGCAAAAAATATAAATACATAGAACAGACTGCGCAATGTAATCAGAATGACATTCTCTCATCAATTATAAGCAAAGGAACTTGGATACTAGTTTGTTTTTGAGACCAGGACACGTGTCGTTAAAAATGTCAATGCCGTCAATTAATGCACATATTTGGTTAAATTCACTACAAATCTTTGATAAAGGGGAATATCTAAGGAGGTTTGTTCTACTTGCGGGAATATGGAAAATTTCAGTAATAGGATGCCGTGGGCAGTGGTATGGAACGCTAAAGTTGATTTTCTGAAGTAAGTGGCTACAATCTATGCTTCCGGAAATTAGTTTTTTTAGGAACATGATATTAATTATTCTACGACGGTTGCCGAGCGATATCATTTTAAAATGTTTAAGACGTAGATCATATGTGGTACGGTAAGATATGCTAGAAGAATGGAATGCCAAGTGCCTAGTGAATGCACGCTGTACGCTCTCAATACGCTGCGAGTAAGTAGCGTAATGGGGACCCCAAACTACTGATGCGAACTCAAGTTGACTGCGAACCAGCGAGTTATATAATATTATTTTAGTGTTTGAGGACATAAATCCCTTAGTATTTCTTTTTAGGAATCCCAGCATTCTGGCAGCTTTAATAACAATTGTATCAATATGTGCTTTGAATGTTAATTTGTTATCCATAATCACGCCCAAATCTCGAATTTCATTGACTTGCTGCAGAATGTCACCATTCAGTACATAACAGGATGTCATAGGGATTAGTTTTTTAGAGAATTTTATGTAATAGGACTTTTTTGTATTTAATGTCATTCCATTTAAATTACACCATACATTTATTCTATCTAGATCACATTGTATAAGTTCTGAGTCTGTTGGTAAAGTAACTGTTCTGTATATTTTTAAATCGTCAGCAAAAAGACAAAATTGACTGTCGCGTATTTCTGAAGTTATATCATTAATAAAAGCCGAAAACAATACAGGACCGAGATGGGAGCCTTGTGGTACGCCTGAAATGGCTATGTAGTCCTGTGATTTATGACCATTCACCACTACAAACTGGAGTCTTTTTGCAAGATACGAACGAAACCATTCCAACAACGACCCACCAATCCCAAAGCCTCGTAATTTATTTATTAAACGAGAATGACAGACCTTATCGAAGGCACTGGAAAAGTCCATATAAATTGTATCTACTTCCAGACCTCTATCAATTTCTCGGCAGAGGTAAGACGTAAATGAGACTAAATTAGTTTCAACAGAGTGGCCTTTTCTAAACCCGTGTTGATGTTCAGAAATAAAGTTATTTAGATGCTGTGTAATAAAAGGACAGACAAGTGACTCGAAGAGCTTTGGAATGCATGAAAGTATGGAAATTGGTCTGTAGTTACTAACATTGCTTGTGGCGCCTTTCTTAAATACTGGGACTACTTTAGAGCTCTTCCAAATGTCTGGAAATACACCATCATTCAAGGATCTGTTGAAGATAATTGACAAAGGTAAAGCCAAAGCAGAGCCGCAACGTCTAACAAAAACCGGGGGAATATCATCTGGTCCAGCACCTTTATACATGTCTAGCTTTTTAATTGCGCGTTGAATGTCACGTTCTGATATGTTAATACGACTTAAAGGAGTTGTATTAAAAGAAAAGTCTACATAATCAGCTAGGGAATCTCTGTTAAACACTGACGAAAAGCAACTTGCGAACATCTGTGCGATTTGCGGTCCGGTAGATGCGATCTGGTTTCCCTGATACATAATTGCTGGTACAGTGGTCTCACCATTTCGTCTATCTTTGATGAAGCGCCAAAAGCTTTTAGGATTCCTACAAATATCAACTTCAATTCTCTTCTTATATACATGAAGACATTGCTCGCTCAATTTGTGAACACGCTCTCGAAGGAGCTCAAATTCTAATTGGTCGCGCGGATTTTTATATTTCTTAAATCGATACCTCACTTTATTTTTCTCGGAAATAGTCTTTATTAGAGAGTTGGTAAACCATGGGGGAAATTTAGTAGACACAGGCTTCGTTCGTGGAGTAAATAAATCAATAGCCGTATAAATGAAATCATAAAATATGTCAGTCATTTCATTTACATTTTGACACCCCTCTAACTTTTCACTCCAATTAACATTTATTAAATAGGATACGATTTGACTATAATCTGCTCGAAAATAGTTGTATCGGGGTCTCAATATAGGTTTGAGGAAATGGGGACTATGTTGTGGTAAGGAAACTAACAGAGGAGGATGCTTTTGGTCGATTTTGCTCAATACATTATTGGATTCAGTAACTTCCAATCCGTTGAAATCAGTAAGAACAAGATCCAATATTTTACCATCCACATTATTCACGTTATTAAATTGTGATAAATTATTAACTGACATGAAATCAATAAGAGAAAGTCCCAATTTAGATCCATAATTCATTGCACTACATGGAGAGCTTTCCGACTTTTGAGACCAACCAATATGACTCAAATTAAAATCACCCAAAATTATCACTTGATCAGATTGCTCGATAACATTTGTAGAGTTTTCCAGAAAACTAGACAAGTGCTCGAAGGAAACTGGAGGGGGAAGGTAAACAGCGCAAATAGAAACTTTCTTGATCAAGTTGTTAGTTTTGATATCGATTGACACCCATAGATCTTCAGCAGTACTTTCCCAACCTAAGTGCCTATAAGATGGGATATGTTTAGATATTGCGATCATAACACCCCCTCCATCTGCCTTGGAGCTCGTCGAACACGATCGATCCTTCCTATATACAACATAACGTTTGTCCATAAATTCACTACTTAAAACATTACAATTTAACCAAGTTTCAGTGAATACTATTAGATCAAATTTATTAACAGCTATATTCCTAAGTATATCTTCTGTCTTAGTTCTCAAGCCGCGCACGTTTTGGTAATATATATTTACAGACATCTTTAAAAAAAATCTATTATAAATCAGTTGATCAAATTTATTTTATCACACTAGGCAATTAATTTTAAGCTTTCTTCGTCTTTAATATATATAACGTGACTCTGCTCATTTTTCCTTACGAAAACTTTACCATCCCTCACCCATATAAACTTAAAACCAGTATCTTTTGTCTTCTTACGAGCGGCCGCATGTAAGTGTTTATTTATCGGCGTTAGATGTTCAGATACAAATACTGGCACACGACGTCCCCCGATTCCTAGATGCTCTGAATTCAATTTGTTGTCTAAATTCTTCTTATTGAACTTAGTAACTGCAGCCAGCAACTCATCGCGACGGCGCTGACTACGTAGTTTAATAATCACGGAGCGAGGACGGTCATTCTCCTTATTAAGTTTGGCAATACGTGTTACGTGGAGAATGTCGCTGTCGCCAAAAGGATTTCCGACAATTCTACCCAGCTGCTCAATAGTCGTTATTAAATTTTCTGATTTATTTTCAGGGATACCATTGATCTCAATATTTGGGGAACGCATGCTTTGTTCTACTTGCCCCAGTCTATTTGTCAAATTCTTCACTTGTATTGTTAAATTATTGTTTTTAGAAACTAAATCAGAAATTGTATCGTCCCTCTCGCTTACCATTTGCTTGAGTTCCTCGTATTGTTTATTAAAAAATGTTAAGGATTCGTGGAAGTCAGCTATTTGTTGGGAAATATTCGATAAGTGTTCAGAAACTAGTTGTTTGATAGTTTTTGTTATCTCCTGTTTAATAATGATACGTAAATGTCCTTCAGTAACGTAGGATCCATCGCTGTCACATTTCGAGCTCTGTTTTTTTGTTCGCAAAGTAATATTTCTTTCTTCTCCAAGACCGTTATCTTCATCAGAAGTGGCGGATCGACTCACTGCTCTAGCAGGAGTATTTGTGTTGTCAGATTTCGGTATCTTATTACGACATTCCTGACAACTCCAGTTATTCTTACGGTCTTGATCCATAAGAAAGTAAGATTTAGGTGTTATATTAGCACATAACAAATCATAACCTAAGCCACATGCGGAGCATATCATGTATTCCTTCCTAGAAAGTTTATTTTTACATCCAGAACAAATCTTTGGGACTGATGACATTATTCCCTTCTTTTATCTTTCCAAATTATATTCTTACTGTCGAAATTAATTACTAGTTCTATGTATAAAAATTATAAATGTATTTGCCAAAAAGAAAAAAAGGAAAAAAATTTGCGCTTTGCAGGATTCGATCTTGAGGCCTGAGCAGCTGACGTGTGCATAAAACTCGTTTGACTAACCGCTTGACCGCAGCGACTTTACATTATTGTGCTAATTTATTGAATATACTCAAGTTTAAATTTTGTGTTAGTTCAATATCCAATCTTTTGTTCTTCAAACCTTCTTCATACCCTCTTTTTATTATATCATTATATAATTTTGAAATTATTTTTTGGTTTATTCACTGTTTTAACACAATATTAAACAATAATTTTTACACAGTTTCACAGCTTATGATTCACTGATTAAGGTAGTGTAACTTAAGGCTTGGTATAGACAATCCTGACACCATATAAGAAATAAAATCGGTTAGAACTACAATAACACGTCTAGTCGTTTCAAAGCTTCCTGATTGTAGCCTTCCTGATTCCTGTATTTAAGTAAGATAGCCTCGGAATTGAACCAGGTCAGGCTGCACTCACGACGCAATATCTTAATTAACTCGACCAAGCCGAGGCATGTAATACTCACTGCTAATGAAATGGATACCGGCGGCCAACCGCTTGAACATGTACCGAGGGTTGCGGAAAGTGTACGTCGAGAAACCACAGCCCATCGCCATCACGAACAAACTGATAATACCGAAGGATATCATCGTGCGAACATAATCTGGTGAAGAGAATGGGACTTGAATACATTTTTCTTACTGCTGAAATGGTTGGAAGAGCTCACAGATCCCTTGATGTAAATAAGTGGTCCCATAGATAGATATCTTCGGTAGGCAGCGGCTTGGCTCTGATCCTGGCATTGCTGAAGTCCATGGGCGACGGTAACCACTTACCATCAGGTGGGCCGTATGCTCGTCTGCCTACAAGGACAATAAAAAAAATCAACGAAGTAAATGCCGCTAGTTTAGTTCTAAATTTCAGTTTTATAGTACAACAGCTTTAAGGAAAAACGCATTACTGTTTCAGGGCAGAAATAGGCGGGGAGGTGGTACCGACCCGTGTGGACTCACAAGACGCCCTACTACCAGCAAAAATTAAATATTCTGAATTGAAAAAACACTCAACGTTGTGCACTAAGCAAACCAAACATTCATTGTTTTCCCGGGCTTAGCTGATACGAATGCTGGAAATCATATCCACATTGGTTCTGTTGTTAATGAGATCAGAGTGCATAGTGACGTAGAAAAACAAAAAATAAACAGCTTGCGATTTATTAATAGACTAGATAAAGTATTAACTTTTAAAAGGGTTTCCAATAAAAGTTGATTGTATTTAAGACTGCTTTATTTAAAGTCAGCTTTGCACCATAACTGTGGTTTCGCAAGAAAGCAATAAAGAGAAAATAACTGCTTATTTAACCTTGAAACATTACTGAAAAGTTCTGTATATTTAGTTAAAAATTACATTTTTCATGCTTTCCTTTTGTGTGTCACAGTTATGTAGGTATTTTCTTTGTCTTTGTTTCCTTTTACTCTTTTGGTTGTTTTATCTTAAAATTTATAACAGACTTTTTGTGTGTTTGCATAAATAATAAAAGCTGCCAGTTGGTAACTTTGTCAAAAATATTTGTGGAGGCACTGGAAGAGATTACTTATTGAAATAAGTAACGTCTTTGAACCAAAATTTTTTATTATTTTCTCCTGTAATTTTTTTCGTGATTTTTAGTAAAGGTATTTAGTTTTCTAAAGTCTGGCTGTAGTTAGTCTTTCTTTGTCTGTGCTTTCAGCATATACATATACTTAATATAATTGAATCATATGGAAAATTTAACTTTAAATAATTCTGAAGAAATGTTTAGGTAAGATAGATACTTACTAGCTATATTCACGTCATAGGCTGGATCAGCCGGTCTGCCGTTCTCCATAACTGGCTGTGAGAGATAATTTGTGCATACTGAAACAATAATTCATTAGTAAAACACTCCATCCAAAAAGTGTATGACCTCTCGATTCATTATTGGCGGAGAGTTCCTTGGCCGTTATAATTTTGTTACCCACATCCAAAATAAGGCTCTCAATTCCACTATTTTATGTGCTACCTCAGACTGTTTTGTGCTTCTCATATTATGGTTTTATTTAAACCGTCAAAATCTGAAGTTTTTGAGTTATCCTTATCCTTAACTATGCATCATGCATATTGGATACGCATTATGCATATTTTATTGACATTGGCTACATTGCTGAAATTCTCATTTTGTTGTAGTCGTACCAATTTTTTAAAATAAAAATATTATATTTTCTACGATTACCTTTCACTTAAAAGTTTGAAGTTCGTCTACAGAAACTAACTAAAATAACAAAAACTAAAACACACAATTATGTATTACGCATTGGGAAATATTATAACTAGTCAGGTCATAAGTATTGTCACACAGTAAAAACTTTTCTTTTAGAATGCTGGCCACAAAAAAGTTTATTGAATTCGAATTTCGATTTGTTCATGAAAATAAAAATGTATACTTTTAGAATTTTACTCATTTTTAAATATGGAGTGGACGCTTAAAGAAGACCGTGTTGCAGTTATTGCGTTGCATCGTTGCAGTTACGCGCCAATTCAAATTTTTAACATACTGAAAAATTTGAATAAAACCAAAAGATTCGTTTATCGTACCATCAAACGATACAATGAAGACTCTAGTGTAGATGACAGGTCAAGAAGTGGTCGCCCTCGGTCTGTTAGGACTCCAGCAGTGATAAAAGCTGTGAAGGCGCGAATTCAAAGAAATCCCAAACGTAAGCAGAAACTGTTGGCCCTTCAGATGGGGTTAAGCAGAACCACGGTGAAAAGGGTGNGAATTCAAAGAAATCCCAAACGTAAGCAGAAACTGTTGGCCCTTCAGATGGGGTTAAGCAGAACCACGGTGAAAAGGGTGTTAAATGAAGACTTAGGGCTTCGGGCATATCGAAGAAAAACAGGACATCGTTTGAATGCTCGTCTAATGGGCCTGAGACTGAAGAGATGCCGCGCTTTGTTGAAGCGGTACGCGGGAAAAATATATCGGGAAATTCTTTTTTCGGATGAAAAAATTTTTACCGTAGAAGAGAGCTACAATAAACAAAATGATAAGGTGTACGCACAGAGTAGTGAAGAAGCGAGCAACCGTATTCCGCGTGTCTAACGAGGTCATTCTCCATCCTCGCTCATGGTATGGTTGGGAGTTTCTTATTGGGGCATAACAGAGGTACATTTTTGTGAGAAAGGTGTAAAAACGAATGCAGTTGTGTATCAAAATACAGTCCTGACGAACCTTGTGGAACCTGTTTCTCATACCATGTTCAATAACAGGCACTGGGTATTCCAACAAGATTCGGCGCCAGCTCATAGAGCGAAGAGCACACAAGACTGGCTGGCGGCACGTGAAATCGACTTCATCCGGCAGGAAGACTGGCCCTCCTCCAGTCCAGATTTGAATCTGTTAGATTACAAGATATGGCAACACTTGGAGGAAAAGGCGTGCTCAAAGCCTCATCCCAATTTGGAGTCACTCAAGACATCCTTGATTAAGGCAGCCGCCGATATTGACATGGACTCGTTCGTGCTGCGATAGACGACTGGCCGCGCAGATTGAAGGCCTGTATTCAAAATCACGGAGGTAATTTTGAATAAACTTTAGTGTCATAAGAATCTATGTTTTGTTAAATTCATTTTGGTATATGAATGGTTACATAATGAATAAACTTGTTTCAATTATTTTACATTAAACATGTGACAGAATTTATGACCTGACTAGGTATAAGTAACTTAATAGGCTTACACATTCATTCCATCCGAAAGTGAGCGAAAAAAGACTGACGAAGCAAAAAATATTCAAACCAAAGATTTCCCGAAAACATTGTGTTAAAGGTATTACGTTACTTAACAGTATCCATTTGCAGCGTTAAACTTTGAGAATCGTTTCCTATTATGAGTAAATTTACGTGGTCGTTAGCTGTCAGATACGCGGCTTTACGCTTCCGCAAAGGTCCGGGCTTATCGTTACGTACACTACACACATGTATAGGTATTACAAAAATAGCGTAATACAGCTTAGAATAGCAGAAAGTAAATATTTATAAAAAGGGGCGGTGAAACTTTAGATATCAATTGGCATCTGGTAGGTGGTATATATTTATACACATTTAGCTATTTGTGGATCTATTAGATTCTGGACACTAAATATGTCTTCGTAGAGTTGGAGTTCTTTAGACACATTGCTTGCAGAGAGAGTTATAATGTCGAACTTTTTACTGGCGGTAGGAACTCTTGTGAGTCCTCGCGGCTAGGTACCGCCACCCTGCCTACTTCTGTCGTGAAGCAGTAATGAGTTTCGATTGGGCAGCCGTTGTAACTATACTTGAGACCTTACAACTTATATTTCAAGGCGGGTGGCGCATTTACGACGTAGATGTCTATAGGCTCCAGTAACCACTTAACACCAGATGGGCTGTGAGCTCGTTCACCCACCTAAGCAATAAATAAATAAAGAGCTGATCGTGACAGGCAAGGTAGAGGCAAACGTCCCCAGGGCTACAGTCCCACGAGATAGTCGGTCCAAAATTGATCTTCTTTGAACATCAAGTTCCACGTTGCCTTTTACGAGTGTCAGGAATCGCAGCAGATAGAATGAAATCGTACGTGAGAAAATTTTACATCGGGGTGGTCACGACCCTCAGTAATGAGGAAAGCGATGTGAGTGGGTGGTACAGCAAAAGCTTTGTGTTCGCGAGGTATAAGTTCCATAAATATACCGCGAATACAGAAACCGTGAATATGGTATATTTACATATAATATATGCATCGGATTATAGAGGCTACGTTCCCAGGTGACAGAATAAAAACATAATTCAGGCATAGTTTAATACGATTTATTTTACTTTTTTTAATAGTCCATTTGACGACATGCTTGCAAAAGATATTCGGTTGGATACCTATATGTTGGCATCCTTTTTATCAATGTGTATTTTTTGTACTGATGTACCGAATAGATGCACGAATAAAGAAAACTTTAGCCGCGAATGTCGAAATTGGCTCGCATTTTTTTTAATCCATGAATACTCGTCGTAAAAACGCGGATAAAGGAAGCGTGAATAAGGTGATTTTACTCTATATATTTCAGTAAAGTTTTAAGGCTAATGAGTTCACAGTTTAAATTATATTGTATTATTAGCTGAGTACCACTGCACGCTAATGACAAAATAGACAAACTGTAGATATGCTTGTACAAATAAAGTTGGTGAAAATTTAAAAATGTCACATAGTATTAAAGACAGATCAGTAAAGTACTTTCTTCGGTTTTCGCGATATTTTCCCAACTTTCCTTCATTTTTATTTTATTTTAACGTGTTTTACGTTTTTTTTTTTTTAAATATGGCATTAATTCCCCATAAATTTATTTCTAAATTAGACATCTAGAAATGAACTTCCTCATGAATATTTTAAATTATTTTCCGAACATTAATTATCCTATGATTAATTAATTATTTGATTGATCCTATGGCTTTTGATCGACATTGTTCTGCGTAAACTTTGTTCTCTACACAGCCAGAGATTTAAGCCTAAGGCCACAACTAATTTTATTAGTAAAAGTTTCTACCCTATTCATAAAAGTTTACCGTCACACAATGGAAGTTCAACTTCTCTTTAACGAAGGATGTGTAAGATGAACTTGATTATAATACGCTGCGTTTCATCATAAATTTATTGTTTCTCGACCATGTAATATAAATTTATTTTCAATTCAAGTATTTCGAATATTTAATAAACAGTTAAATTGAATTGAATAATCCTCTTCCACAATAAGTATTAATTATTATGGTATAGTGACTGTTTTTATTTTGTTATACATAATATGCGCAGATGAGCTTATAATGTAAATGATGTTAAGTAGTTACAAGAGTGCATAAACACCAAATACGTGAAAGCCGCTACCCACCTCAAGGCATGAGGTCGAAGACTCAATTAAAGAAACACGAAATATGCCAGATGATATTATCTACTCGTGCGAGCTCAGAAACCACCATCAGTATTTAATTTTGCAACAGTATAAACTACACCCGTTCGATATTTATTAAATAATATGATCTATTTGGCGTGTGATTGATTATAATACCTTATTCGAGTTTGGTATTCTTTAAAATGCAAATATTCACGACACGATATTTTCAATTGACGTAGGCGCCGCTAATTACAACTCTAGCCTGCCTCAGCAGAGGCAAGTAGCTACCGTCAGTGCTATAGACCAGACTTTGCCAAAGTCGGCGATAACACCCCCTTGTGGGTGCTGCAGGCCTAAAGGGGGCGGTAAGAGACCCAGAAAAAAAGGGGGAGTTGTGTACAGGCTTGGGAGGCGATTTGTTATTTCATCTAGGAGGACTCTTAGACACCAACTGAGCTCTCGGTATAGTGGTTTTTAAGTAGGCGAAAAAATCGGGACGTTACAAAATAATTTATTCCCAAAGTGGGCAGACAAAATAAGTCTGGGAACCCCTGCTCTAGATGTTTCCCAACGGATCCATCTGATACACTCTCAAATCGACTCTCAGTACTTGCTCTTTGAATACAGCACTGAGAGTTGATTTCAACACTAGCAGCAACCAAGGCTCAGGTCACTGTACTCGTCGAAGATCGACTTTTTATGACCACATTTAGCCTACATCATCAGTCCGCTAAGTTTCATTCCAGATATTCTCAACGGGTTGTAATTCAAATCTGGTAGCAAATGCACTTACAAAACAGCTACTTTTGAAGCATTAAGCGCTTACTTACTTAGTAGCTGAAAAGGTCTTTTGGCCCATAGATGATCATAAAGCAACCTTTATCGCAGAAATTGTTTAACACATGTTAAGTGTGTACGTATTTGCTTGTAGAATTTCAATACCATCACAGTCGCAACATAAATTACAATCATCAAGGAC